AGCGTCTCCGATAACGCCGCCTTGAGGTAAACCAACCGATCGAGCTCCTCGCAGGCGAGCGGCTCGTCGATCCATAACGCCACGTCATCGCCACGTGTCTCGATAAGGACGGTGCAGATCTCGCGGAGGATTTTATCCTCTACGGTGGGGTTCTGCGTGATCAGCCAGAAGAACCAGCTTAACGCGACTGATGACGTGTCACGGCCCGCGAGTATGAAGTTGAGCGCCACGCGCTGGAGGACTTCGTCGGAGTAGGATTCCTTTTTTTTAATGAAACGCGATAAGAGATCGTCGTGTTGGGCCGCCGCATCGTTATTGGGCTTATTAGTTAGATCTTGCTTACGTGTTTTAATGATTTCGGACAAGTAGTTGTCTACTTGGACTAAGCTTCGAGTTAAGCTGACTTCTAAGCCGAGTCCGACCAATCTTTTAAACTTCCATAAAATCTCCGGTAGTATAAACCGTTGTAGAGACGCCTCCGTGGCTCGGTCAAAAGCCACGGAGAACGTGTTGACCGGGAGACCCGGTGCGCAAGTTCGCGGGTCTTTACCGAAAGTCAACCCGCAGATATTATCAAACGTAAGCCGAAGAAGCAAATCTTGAAGATCGATCGGCTCGGAGTCGAGCCGGGCGGTGTCAAGAATAGGTAAAAACCTAAGCTTGATAGCTCGGTTAACCCAACGAGCCATGGCTTGACGGAGAGTCCTTGTTGTGAACTCCAAAGCGGCGGTTTTACGTTGGAAAAGCCACGTGTCACCATCGGAGTTGAAGATCCCTTGACCTAGAAGATCGTGAAAAACGGCTTGCCACGTTGGACCTTTAGGGTAGTTATCAAAGCGGGTCTTGAGAATGTGCTCGAGGTTTCTTGGGTCGCACGTCACCGTTACTAGACCTTGTTTCTTCGCTAGAAAGGGGATAGCGCAGATGCATGTCTGATACGTACCGGAGCAAGCGAGAAGGTTGTCGGAGATCCAGTCGTGCATTCTCTCGCAGTTCTCGATTAGACCAGGGAGACTGCCAACTAAGGGCCAGACACGTGGACCTTTAAGACAACGAGATATGAATGTGAGCCATAAGAAGTAAGCTGTGATGGCTGAAAGAATCATTAGAGCAGTAGATATCTCCATGTTTTTTGGCACAAAAGTTGTAAGAGAGATGGGATTAAGAAAGGGTTTACAAGAGAGGAGATTTTATAGAAAGATGAGCAATTATGGAAGACAGACTGTTTCTACTTCAATGGATTTTTCTCTCTAGATCTTGAGAGTGGAGAGTTTTAGGGGTATGTGAAGCATGAGAGATGTTGTGTTACCAACATTAATGGTTCCTGCTCTAGGCTGGTAGCTAGGTGGTTGGAGACTTGATGTGTATTGATCTCATTTATATAGAAAAACAAAGAAGGTTTTGAAATAGAAAATAGAATGGTAAATATTTTCCAAAAGTCTACTATGAGGTGGTAATAACACAGCGGGGGAGAGGGCGAGAGCATTAAAGACGTTTAGTTGAGGAGCCTAAGAAGAGGGTATGAGTAAAATGACCCACAGTTTTCAATGTCCGAACATGGAACTATTTATATACAATTTAATACAAAACCCACCCCATATGAAATAAGATAAGTAAAACTGTTTTTTATCTTTTTTGGAAAAATTGTGTATAAGAAGTCACAAAGTAAGCATGGGATGTTGGCTCCTCATGGCTATTAATTGTATGTTTTGAAATATATTAGTTAGGTTGATCTAAATATTATCAGGCATGGCCAATAAGACTGTAAAAGACAACATGGAAGATCAATTTCGTGATATTACAATTTGGTTATTTACATAATATATGTGCAAAAATATATATGTTCAGCTATTTTATTATCTCATGTTATTCAAATATATATTACTAGGTGATTTTCCCGTGCTCATGCACGGGTATAAATATTTTTAAAGTAAATATATGATAATAATTGATTGCTATTTATTTTTAGTTTTAAATTAATGTATAACTTCTATGCATCATTTATATTAATAATATTATATTACTTTAACTATACTATAATTTTATATATGTTATATCTAGTCGATTTTGTTGTTTTTACAGTTGATTTAATTATCATTTAGATAAATTGGATTGCATCTATGAACTTAAATGTAATATTTTTAAAAATATATTAATTTTTAATTAATTACTTATTTTCATATAGTGGGTGTTGTCTTAGATATGTAAATATAATTTAGAAAAATTAACTAAAGTGTATGATTCCAAAATACGTAAATTAATATAACAATAATATACTAAAGTCTTATGCATATATATAAATTTTACAAAAGAACTAAAAGTGTAAGAGTTGGTTATTATTTATTTTCATTTGTTAATATGTTTTGAATTATCCTATGATCAATAGAAGGTTACATGCATAAGTAGTTGATACATTTTTGGAAGTTCATGAACATATATCAATATTTATAATAAATAAAATATTTATAAATTCTAAATAATTTTATGCTTTAGATTTATTGAATGAAAAATGAAATTTATTTTAAATGATTTTAAAATTGGGAATTCATATTTGCTTTGGTATCTTGATTATCATTATATTTAGTTTCACAAACATAAAAACATAAAATTTAAAAGAATATCTATTATTAAGAAAAATAATAATTTTAATAATGATAAAATATCATATATCTAGCTCATTAAACTAATTGTTAATTATTCGATCAAGCGATGTTTAGTATTAAATTTATTTTTAGTTTTTAATATCTCTTAAAAATAAGCATTACACAAAATTGTGATTGTATTTGAAAACAAAATTATATAAGTAAAATATAATTTATAGATAATTTTCTGTAATTGAAAGATATTATAGCCAACTAAATATATGAAAAATAAATAAAAAATCAATAATACTAATTATAAATTATTTTTATTACTCTNTTTCTGTAATTGAAAGATATTATAGCCAACTAAATATATGAAAAATAAATAAAAAATCAATAATACTAATTATAAATTATTTTTATTACTCTAAAAGTATATTTTATGTTATTTAAAAATATTTTTAAATGTATTATTACTATTTTGTTAACTTTCCTTTTTTTATGAAATCATAATATATACATATATTTTCGTTTTTAATTTGTTATGTGACTTTATAAAAAATTTTCTTTTTATTACATATATTTTTGGAAATTTTTGAAAAGGAAACTAAACAAAAAAAAATTAATAATATTATTTTTAATTCATTAAAGGTATCAGTGTAATTAACCATCATGAGAATGAATGTGAGAACGACACATAGGAAACTGACTTCTCAAATAATATTATAGAGATTCATGTTTCAGGGAGACTATCTTAGGTTAACTACTATATCACGTTGTTTAGTTGATTTTTATATAAAAGGAACTTCGTGATGTGTTTTGTCAAGTGTATACGTTTGTCTAATATAAAACATAGAACTCCAGTTTTGTTGGTATAGAGTGTAAAAATGTGTGATTAAGGTTACAGAGTGGAGATTGTTAGGGTTTGGGTGAACAAACTCAACAAAATATTTTTGCTCAACCACACAAATATAGGTTGCTTGGGTTTGGTGACTTATTGCTGAATTTTGTCGATATATTTTAAAGTTTGTAGGCATTGAATGTATCCTAATTGTACATGCGTCCACAACGCCGCTTAATGCATGACCAGGATGAATTCACTATCCTAATTCTAACTTTTCACGTGTCGAGTTTTAAAATTGATTACAAATTAAACATACGTTATAGTTTAACAATAACATATCGACATCACTTGATTTTAGTCGAATGTTCGAAACTAGATCACAGAATGAATACTTAGTTTGGATAAAATGAAAACCCTGTCGTGGATAGTCAACTGTAAAGTGTTTTGACCTTTGTCATTAACGCACAAATGAATTGACAAACGATAGTCAACTTTTTCGAATTCCAAACCAAGGGTATTGCAGAATATCCGGTTCATGTTTTAATTATTTGTGCCAATGTAGACCAAAATCCATTACTATTTTCCGTTACACATGGTAATGAAAAATTTAAACACAACAAACTACGTGAGCATTATTAGCTGTGAGAAACCCATTAAATCTCTCACTACATTATTGTGTCAAGAACATAACACTATTACAGATATATAAAAGATGATCATGGATTAGCTCTAGTCTTCGCCTCACTTGATGATTTGCCAAAGTTATTCAAAAAAAATTCCACATTTTGCAGACGATTTGACGTTTTTTTACAGAGATTCGTTTGGCATATATTCGACTCATGCACATATATTTCTTCCTTGTGTAGATAAAATAACATCATGCATCTTTGACTTTTTGATATAAAAAATAGTAGGTTAAAACTTGAGACAAAAGACAAATCGACAGAGAATATAAGTAATCTTATTAGATTACCTTCCCATCAACGCAAGAGAAGACATACACATCTAGGTCGAACAAATAATATTAATTCTTTTGTAGCTGAATCTTTTTATAAAACTTAAAACATAATTACAGTTGCGTACGGCAAGTTACATGAAATCATACAATAAAATAGTTAGATTAGGTACATCAAGAATATCCCTATGCACAGATGCAATATTTTTAAGAATAATAGAAAAAGATATGTAAAAGGGAAGGAATTTTCGACGAGACGGCTATGACTTTATATGACTACCCAAACTTCTTCGAAATTTGGCACATTTATGGTATTAATAAAATAAATGACTTTTTGGTTATGACTTGTGAACCGATCACGTAAATGTAATAAATAGATACCGCGCGTGGCTTGTCCCACATTAAATCAATTTGTTCATTTACGTAGTTTTCTATTCATTCTCATTTTGCATTTAAGACCCCATATATATAAATAATAAGAGAAATTAAAATACATATTGAAAAGTTGTTGCAGATTATAAGATGCAAACTTATTGGATGTTCCAGAGTAATGCAAGCAGAGCCGGTCAATATGATCGTTTGCTACATAATGGATATGTCTATTGAGGATATCGTACATGCAGAACCGTGCATCGATCCAAATGCCATGGGGAAAGCTTCTTCGTGTAATATCCGTGGAGAGTTATTCATCAAGATCACTTATGTTAAGTTGATTATCATATATAATAAAGTTAATGATTATATGATATGCAATTGTTAGTTTGTTATCCAGTGTTAAAAAAAAAATATTGAAAAGTTGCTAAACAATGAATGAAATCATTATTATAGTTAGATACCCCGTCACTTATATTCCCATTGTAATTGATAGGACTAGTGTGTTTAAAAGAAAAGAAAAATTAATAGGACTAGTTGTAGTTGGTAATCAAGACAGCACTCTCAACCATTCTAAAAGCAAATAATTTATTATTGACTTAACTGTTATGTTTTATGATTCTACATTTGACATGTTTTTTTTCCTTCACTTTTTACAAATCAGAACGTATTCTCTTTTAGGAATCATCCAATGATAGTAAAATAAAAATTCGTTATTTAAAAAGAGAAAAAAAAAACAAGTGTTTATGTGTATATTTCCACACTAAGACAAGAAAGAAGCTAACATGAACAAAAAAGAAGAAGAAAGAAGCTTTTGGCACTGAAAGAGAGAAGGCAACTGTATATCCGTTCTAAAGGTACAAGATAATGAAGAAGCAACATAGGCTGAAGAAAGACCAAAAGCGTTTAACGTTGAGGCACACATACGTAACTCAAGACCTGTGCTGTGTGAGCAACGAATGATACAATGCTGTCTTCGTCTCTAGATCTCACTGGAGGTTCCACTCCTTACGAGAGAAGCTTGTGGGTTACTTCTCACAATCACACCTTTCAAACGAGAGAGAGGTTCAAGTACCCTGCTCAGCTTCTGTGTGAGAACAAAAAACAAAGCACGAGTCGTCAATGAATGGCTATTAGAGAATAAATAATGATTCATGACACATGTTTTTTTAGATCATTAACCTCGCTACTGATGCTTGAGTGCCACTTGAGTTGCAAAACTTGCCACCTCTCTTGTTGCCAGCGTTGACCAAGAACTACAAGTCCAGTGACAGCAGCTGCAAAGAATAAAGACCACATCGCATTTGCTTCTCTTGTGCGTATATACATAGAAACAGCTCTCCTTCTCCACCACGCTTCGCAAGGAAGGTCATGTCTTGCCGCCGCCTTTTTACCATCATTCTCAAGTCCAGTATCAGAATGAAGATCCAAGTCCTCCTCTGCATACTCATTCTGCTCAGAATCAATTAACCGGTCTGATTCCATGTACTGTCTAGAAGTAGTATGTTCATCAGACAATCCCTGACTTTCTTGCATCATCAAGTCTTCCCCATCCTTACTTCCTTCCTCTTCAAAAACAGGTTCGTCATCAATTGGTAAATCCTCATGCTGGCTAGGTGGGAAAACAAAGTGGTCAGACATGAACAAATCACGTGAAGTTTCAGCTCCATAGTAAGCGTGATCAAACTTCCTTGCAGCAGCAACGTTATAAGGACCAGGAGAAGCAGCATAAGCTGATGAAGTAAGCGAAACAACTTCCCATTCATTCCCACGAGGAGGATGCTCCACCTCTTTGTTAGCCATCTTCTACCACAGAATCTCCAATGACCCTAAAAAAATCGAAAAAAGGACTCTGCTTGAGTTAACAAAACAGAGTATATTTTCACATTTTCAAAAATGAAAAAGGACTAAACTTTCATCATAGTAGCAACACTAGTCTAACCTAAACCGTTAGCAATGCAAAAAAACAACATCATACATGAGCCATTCTGATTTTGGATTGAAACCAATCAATAGGGAATATTCAGAAACAGAGGAAATTAAACCAATTCATCCTTTCTGGGTTCTATCAGATACGATTAGCAGAATACTAAAGACGATCTCTTTCCACTAATCGAAATCGAAACGAGCTAATTACAAAACCTATACGGACAATTACGCACAGCAATTGAGAAGAAGAAGAAGAAAGAGTTTTACAGAGTATGAAGAGACGGATACGTAATTGGATTGGATTAGATCCGGAGATTGATGAATGATGAGATTCTTCTTCTCCCTCTCTCTCTCTGTCTCTGGAGGAGGAGACTTGAGAGGAGGAAAAGATCGGCAATTATTGAAACCGGCGACACCGGTTCTTAGGTTGGCTGTATAGACGGTGGGACCGGCTACAGTCGGTATTAAAAAAAGATTATTTATATCTAAATCGTCCTGACACGTGTCTTATTATTATTGGGGTGTTAGAGTGTGAGTAAACAAACCTTCTTCTCTTAAACAAATGTGTGGCAGATGCTTGAAAACCAGTGGAGGAGAAGGAGAATGGGAGATCTCTACGCTTTGGACTTTGATGGAGTTCTCTGCGATAGCTGTGGAGAAAGCTCTCTTTCTGCTGTTAAGGTCAACTCTTAATCTTTTGCTCGATATTCTATAAGAAGTCTCTGTTTTTGTCTGATTCTGATTCTGAAGTTTGGAACTTTTAGTTCGTTTCAAGTGTTGGTGTTACTGAACATTCGTTTGATTGTTATTATGTGTTGTAGGCTGCGAAAGTGAGATGGCCTGGTTTGTTTGAAGGAGTTGATTCAGCTTTAGAGGAATGGATCGTTGATCAAATGCATATTGTAAATTTACTATCTTTCTTACTTTTTGTTCAGCTTTGGAGTTTGTTGTTGTTATCTACATGTGAAGCTTACACAGGAGCTGGTGTTTGTTTGTAGGTGAGACCTGTGGTGGAAACTGGCTATGAAAATCTTCTACTTGTTCGGTTACTGTTGGAGACAAAGATGCCTTCTATTAGGAAATCTTCAGTGAGTGTGAAATGCTTCACTTTACTTAAGCTTGGATTAAGAGATCCTCTTTGTGTATTGTGAGATCAACAGTTTGATGGTGATTGGTTGTGTTTGTTTATTTTAAGGTTGCAGAGGGGTTGACTGTTGATGGGATATTGGAGAGCTGGGGAAAGATTAAACCAGTTATCATGGAAGCTTGGGGTGAAGGAGATAAAGATGCTTTGATTGATTTGTTTGGGAAAGTTAGAGATGATTGGATTAACAATGACTTGACCACTTGGATTGGTGCCAATAGGTGTATATATATGTCTTTAAAATCATTTTCTTGAGATGATTGGTTTCATAGCTTTGATACATTAGTTTACTATATTTTGCAGATTTTATCCAGGAGTTTCAGATGCACTGAAATTTGCCAGCTCAAAGATCTACATTGTCACCACTAAACAGGTGCTATAATGATGTCTGGACCTTTCATACTGTCTTCTGTCGCCATCAGTAGCTGAACTATGTTAGTATGTGTTGCAGGGCCGTTTTGCAGAAGCGTTGCTGCGTGAAATAGCAGGTGTAATCATACCACCAGAAAGGATTTACGCTTTGGGTTCAGGGTCAGTATCAGTATTACCAACAAGGTTGATCTTCTTTTTTTTTTTTCTCTCCTAAGCTAGCTTTTTGTGTTTGATGTCTCATCAGGCCAAAGGTGGAAGTGCTAAAGCTACTTCAGAACAAACCAGAACACCAGGGCTTGACGCTGCAGTGAGTCTCGCTCATGCTCGTTTACATATATCACTAATTTTCTCACTACATGATTAGTTTACAATCTCGATGGACAGTTTCGTGGAAGACAGACTCGCAACGCTGAAGAATGTCATCAAAGAGCCTGAACTAGACAAATGGAATCTATACCTAAGTAATCTCTTCTTCTCTCCCCTCATATATTCTTATTTTTTTCTGATTCTTCTTGCTGATTATTCTGACGAATCTTATCTATGAAACAGGTAACTGGGGCTACAACACAGAGAAAGAAAGAGCAGAGGCAGAAAGTATTCCAAGAATTCAGGTTATCGAGCTTTCCACGTTTAGCAATAAGCTTAAATGAGTGAATACTCATCAGAAAGAAAAAAAAAACAATCTTCTCTTTTCATTGTATTCTACGAACCAAACATGTAAAAGATATTGTAGCTAAAGAGATAACACTTTCAATCTCATAATTCATCCTTGGTCACATCATCCTTGTTATTACCATCACCATCTTCACCATCCTTGCTTTCCTTAGCTTTAAGTTTCTCAACGACATCATCAAGAGGAGGATCTCCAGGTCTTCGAAACTCTTGTTTCCCAATCTTAACCTCATAAGCCTCTTCTTGGCTCAGCACAAACTCCCTTAACTACAAAAGAGAAATGATTGTAGCCTTCGTCATGAATCTCCTCTAAACAAAGTTTACAACTAACTTTATCTTAATTACCTCAGTCACTTCCTTCCCGTTCTGCATATTGAACATCACCGTGCTTCGATCCACAGCCATGAACCTCACTCCTAACCCTCCTGTTCTCAAAACTTTCGTCCATCTCATAGCAATCTCCACCACCATATCCTATACATTGAAACCAACAAACCAAAGTCACGATTTTTAACAAACCAAACAATCAAAGTCACGATTTTTAACAAACCAATCAAACCAAAGTCACGATTTTTAACAAACCAAACAACCAAAAGTCACGATTTTTAACAAACCAAAGTAACGATTTTTTAACCGCCGATCTAAACCGATTCTTAGTTTAGTTTACCTTAGTGCGTTGGACGCCTAACCGGAGCTTGACGAACCCAACGACAGGTGCGAAAGTCCGTTTAGCCATCTCCTCTTGGATCTGATCGAATCCCATGTTAGAGAAATCAGGAGGAGGATCGAACTCTGGAGTCGCTGCTTTTTCCCCCCACGTTTTCCACGATTCGTCTTCTTCGTTGTCTTCCACGTCGTCTAGATCGTCGGTGATCTCGATCCGTCGCTTCCCTGCTTCGGCAGATCCGTGAAAATTCGAGATCACGAATAAGACGATGCAACAAAGTAGAGAGAAACGCAAGATCTTCTCCATGGTTTGTGATCGTTGTAAACGGTGAGGAGGGAGTGAGACGGCAACGGCATTTCTAAATCAGTTAAGTAACGACAAAACTGTCACTATAAACTACTCACCGTTTTGTTATTTTGTTTAAGGAATGCGTGCCGAGTGATGTACGTAAATATGACCAGCATGTTAGCCCACTTGTATTTTTTTCTTGTCAGCATGTAAAAGCCCACTGAAAAATCATAGCTTTGATTAACGAATAAAAATGATGATTTCTCCCAAAATAAACCACACGTGTCGCGTTGTAATTGGAGAAACTCTTTTACACAGAGAAGGAGAAGTTTTATGTATTACTTAGTTTTTGAAGTGATATGGTGTAATCATGATTCATGAAGCTGAGGTATAAACTCATTTCATATTTTCCCTTGGAAACAAACAAAAGTATAACAAATAACAATGAAATTTTGACTCTGTTGTATTCACCAATATAATCCGAAAATTTTACTGTACTTGTTGTATTTGGAAAAACCTGTCTCTGATTCTTCAGTCATTTTAAACCATAAGAAAGAATACTCCAACTCCAGGTAGAATCATCAGAAGAGTGAGAGCGATGGAAGTATATACCTCAAAATACCAAAACCAGAAATTTGCTGAGCTGACATGACTGATTTGAGCAGAAGAACCCTTTCTCCCGCAGAGTTTTATCAGCAGTTTCAATGGCAATGAATAGATGGTAAGAAAAGAAAAAAATGATGCTCCAGCTTTAAAACCCAACAGGGTAAGATCTATCAAGGCTACTACCACCTCTCTATCGACGCCTTCTTTTCTTAGGTGTAAGCAGGACGGGTTTCTGTGATGTGTTTGCTTCCAGGTTGCAAACCTGGTATTGTGTATCAGTATCACTGTCTATCTCATAAGGAGTCATTCTACTCTGATTTGCTCTAAACTGCAAAAGTGTCACGTTGTAGAAGTAGCTCACAATTTTTCCTCTGGTCTTTGAAGGAAGAGCACTCTTGACATCATCGAAGAATGACGGGATAAGCGTAGGTGGAGAAGGCATCAGAGAGATCACCTTCCTCAGTTCTAAGTCAGTCCAATACTGCAGATTACCTTCACCCATTGTATCAAAACACCACATGTAGAAAGCTGAACCAAGTTCGAGTTTCAGTTTCTCCTGTTTTGCCTTGATATGAAATCTGACACATTCAACAGACCATGGATTTTGGCAGCCACACGCATCTTGTCTGCCTTTTCCAATAGGATCTCTTTCGACAAGAAGATTATTGTTGTTGTTTTGTTCTTTGTTAAGTGGCCAGATCAGTGTGCCTAGCCACTTTGAATCGCTTTCAGAGGTGATGCCAGTCCACTCAGGTACTTCGGCTTGAAACTCAGAACCAACTAGAGCCCATGATTCATCCTCCTCGTCTGAATCCTCTGAAACCGAGCCATCCTCAGAAGATATTCCAGCTTTCTTCTCATTAAACTGACCCCTATCGAAACTGAGTCTCTCTCTTAGATTGTAACTAGTCCCAGCACTATCTTGATACAAAGATGGATGCATCTTCTGGATTTTCTGAAACACACACAAGCAAATGATCAAGACTTGGAATAGCATAAACATGAAAAAAACATTGTAAATTTAAAGAATTTGAGTATGCTTCAATCACACAGGATTCAAATAATATTCTCTAGCAATAACATTTCCTAACTTGCCACTAGCAACTACTTAAAAGACTATGCACTTCAGGATTCTAAATGCAAAAGATAACATCTTCACAATTAAACTCAATAATGGTTTTCAAACCACTAAACACACCTGCCAAATCTTTTCACAAGCAGAATCAGAGTTTGTTCTTGAAGCTCTAAACAGAAGAAGCTGTTTCCATGGCTCTTCACTACCATAAGAATCCCACACTGATCTATCCGGCAAAGAACCAACAGACACATCACACGGATCCTTAGCAGCCTCTCTTAACCACCTCAACGTCTCTAAAGAACACTCACGTTTCCTCTTCCCAGGCGAAGAAGAATCAAGAAACACAAGCTTCTTCTCACTCGTTTTCACAGACTCATTAGAACCAATTCGATCCTTATCATCATCATCAACACAACTCTTAGCTTTCGATACAAACCATTTGAACTCTCCTCCTACCTCCCTCGCATCCATACCTTTCCACAACTCATACTTCCTCTTCACCTGAGACACAAACTCCCTAAACCTACCAATCAAATCACCAGACACTCCAGGCAACTTCACACTACCATCACCTTCAACAACTTTGTTCAACCATCCAGCAAGCGCGGCGAGATACTTAACATAGATCAATTTCGCGGAATCATCACCAAACCCTAATCCACACTCGCTCCCAACTTCATCCCACGCAGCATTCTCCGAAACCGCTTTGTAACCGCCTCTATGACTCACGTTGATAAAGAGTCTGAAGAGATCAACCGTCGCCGGAGGGAGAGGAGGAGGACAAAACTCGACGACGAAGGACTCGAGTAAGCGACGGAACAAGGAGACGAGTTCGTTGATACTCTTCTCAACCGCCGAATCTGCTTCGGGTGACTTGTTGAGGTCGAAGCTCTTCGGAGTTTTGACGGCGTCGTTTTCGTCGTCTGTTACCATCGACCATCCAGCCATCGACGACGACGACGAAGAGCGGATCCTGCAACCATTTATAGATCCCATTTTATATCCACAAACACAGTAATTAAATTAAAAACCCTAAGAAGCTTCGTCGTCGACGAGGACGACGATGAGATCGAGAAATCGTTAGCTTACGGTTACGGTTACGGTTACGAGTCCATAGATTCCATGGCGGAATTTTTAAGCGGGAAATGCAAAAAAGGAAAAAGATCGAATAAAATGATGTGGGCTATTTGGGAAAACCCCACTTCCCTTGACCCGCCATTTTCTCTGTGGCGAGGTTCGGGTTTTCTGATGGGATGGTGACTGAAGAGAAAGTTTAGGGGCACAAATCGAACTTTTCTTAAACTATAGACCCTAATTCGTCAAAATTAAAAACTATGTTTTTTCCCTAAAATTTAGGGTTAATTGTGAAACAATTTGATAAAATGAAAATCGCCGACGAAATTATATTATTGGGAAGGAGAAATAAATAATATTGAGAAAACCGCTAACCTTTTCTCTGTTAATATTCACCAGTATTTTAGGTGGTGTGTATTAAGAAGCGTAGAGAAATGATTTGTTTTATTGAATGAAGACGGTTTGTTATTTATGGGAGACGCATAGGAAATGAGAGAGACTCGTACCATTTAAATATATAAAAAGATATTTATTAGCTGTCATATAACATATTAACTCTGGTTAGTTGTTAACCCACAGGTTGAGTTAAACTGTAACAAACCACAAAGGGAGGGTTTTTGTAAGTTTGGGCCTTTCAACATGTTTACAATTATTAGAGATACAGAGAACTCTGTATAAAGAACTCTTTAAAAATCTTTTTAAATGTAATTGGTTCTCTGTAAAAAAAAAGGGTAGTTGGCTCTTATTTGGTGTTATTGGTTCTTATTTAGGCCTTTTAACATGTTTACTAAGAACATATATATACTATACACTCAACAAAATAATAATTTTTAAAAATATTATTTATTGAGTTTTTGACAAAATATTCTGAATATGTCTTTGTTATAATTAAATTTGTAAATTTTTAAAATTATAACTAAAAATTAAGGTATATAATATTTGAATCTATTTTAAAAACATGTTAATTTATCAAAGTTCCGATTGGAAATGACTTTTAAAATTCTAACGGTTACTAAAAGTTGACTTTCAACATTATGACTTTTAAAACAATAAAAACCTTAAATTGTGACTATAAAAAATGAAGTATAAAAAAATTATTTTGGCTTTGAAATATTTAAAAGTATTTTTTACGATTTTAGTAAAACTAAACCCGTTTAGAATAAAATTAATTTAAAATTTCTACAGTTTCTCAAATTAAAATTCCAATCGAGACATATGACTGTTTGGATTAGAAAAAAATTTCAATCTAAAAACAAATATTTTAATTTACTATATTATGATTTTAACTTTAAAATTAAATTAACAGCAACAAAAATAAAAATATTTAAATATCTGAAGAGAAGATCCATCTGTGAATTTGTGTTTTTTTTTTATGGATTCCGATATACCAAATTCATTTAAAAAAACTGCTATTCATTCGACAAGAAAGGATAAGTCAAAATCAAATAAAAGATTAAAAATGTAAGGATTTCATTAATGTCGAGGACAAAAGAATATAAGAGTGTTTATTACTGTCCTAATAATTACTGATTAGTCCTTATTTATCCTATTTACCTTAAACAATGATTAAGAAAATTTAAAAAGTAGTTAGTAACTACCGTCCTAACCATGCCGTCATATTTTCCATCTCCGGTACAGAGACATGCGTTTAACGTTCCGCTCAACTTCAATCCTGACCGTCCATTTCAAAAAGTATTCATCTTCCCCGCGAACTAACCTCACACTCTCTTCTTCCTCTGCATCAAAGCCATCTGCTAGACATGATCATGGGCTCATGATCAAACGAGGAGATTACAATTCCCTCTTCCTTCAAAACAAGCTCTTGCAACTTTACACGAAAAGCAGAGACTTTGACTATGCAGACAAGCTGTTCGACGAAATGCCTATTAGAAATATCGTTACTTGGAACATATTGATTCACGGGGCTATACACCGAGACAGTGACACCAAGCAAAAAGCTCGTTTGGGTTTCTCTTATTTGAGTCGAGTTCTTCTCAGTGAAGTGAGGTTGGATCATGTGTCTTTCATTGGTCTGATACGGTTGTGTAGTGATTCAAACCATGTAGAAGCTGGTAGACAATTACATAGTTTGATAGTGAAACAAGGTCTTGATTCAGATTGTTTTGTAAGCACAAGTCTCGTTGGTTTCTATGGGAAATGTGGTTACATTGCTGAAGCTAGACAAGTTTTTGAGGCGGTTTTGAGTAAAGATTTGGTTTTAAGTAACGCTTTAGTCTCGTCTTATGTCCTTAACGGTATGGTCGATGAAGCTATTGGTTTACTCAAGGTAATAGAATCCCCAGGTGATAATTTCACTTTCTCGAGTCTTCTCAGTGTGTGTAGAGTCGAACAAGGGAAGCAGATTCACGCCGTTGTCTTCAAATTGTCATTTCAGTTCGATGTTCCAGTGGCGACTGCATTGGTTGATATGTATGCTAAGAGTAATTATATGAGAGACGCCAGGGAGTGTTTTGAATCGATGGTTGTGAGAAATGTAGTGTCTTGGAACGCGATGATTGTGGGTTATGGAAAAAACGGAGAAGGGAGAGAAGCTATGCGGCTTCTTGGTGAGATGAGAAGTGAGAATCTACAACCAGATGAGCTTACCTTCGCGAGTGTTTTAAGTTCTTGCGCAAAGTTCGCGGCGGTTCAGGAGGTTAAGCAAGTGCAAGCTGTTGTTACTAAGCAAGGTTATTCAGGTTTTCTGTCTGTGGTTAATTCTCTGGTAACTGCTTACTCCAAGACTGGAAGTTTATCTGAAGCACTTGTCTGTTTTCATTCTATCAAGGCACCTGATCTTGTTTCATGGACTTCAGTAATTGGAGCTTTAGCATTTCACGGATTCGCGGAAGAAAGCTTGAGAATGTTTGAAAGTATGCTGCAGAGACTTCGTCCAGACAAGATCACCTTTTTGGAGGTTCTGTCTGCTTGTAGCCATGGAGGATTAGTTCAAGAAGGGCTTCGTGTCTTCAAACTAATGACTGAAGTTTACAAGATGGAACCAGAGGAAGAACACTACACCTGTCTGATAGATCTTCTTGGTCGAGCTGGTTTCATCGAAGAGGCCTTAGATGTTTTAAGGTCAATGCCTATAGAGCCAAGCACGGATGCTTTGGCAGCTTTCACGGGAGCATGTGACATCCACGAGAAGAGAGAATCTATGAAATGGGGTGCAAAGAAGCTCCTTGAAATTGAACCTAGCAAACCTGTGAACTACTCTCTCTTGTCAAACGCTTACGTCTCTGAAGGCCACTGGAACCGAGCTGCTACAGTGCGTGTAACAGAGAGGAGAAATTGCAATAATACCAAAACTCCAGGTTGCAGTTGGGTTGAGGACTAGTTAGTCCAGAAACAATGGCCATGACTCATGAACATAACGATATATAAAAAGCAGATTGAACTCAAAGATTGTTTAAGAATGCCAAAGCCTCTCCTTAAAAAAGAACACAAATGATGCAACTAGACAACAACTCCAGCGGTCCAAATGCCACATCAAAAGAATCTAAGTGAGACAAACCTGAATATTTACTCATCACCATGTCTTTCATCTGTTCTAACACTTCTTTGGTTGGTACTTCGTATACAGATATAGAAGAAGTACATCAAGAATTTAGTATAGAGACTCTTTTATCTTTTTGCTTTTTTTAGTTTCTTGGTAGCGAGTCTTGCCTTGTTAGCTCGTAGTTGTCAGCTCCCTGGTGGGTTTGGTTCTCGTTATTTACAATTGCAATCTTCGAACAAAGGAAGAAGAAGGAAGATGTGTAGATTGTGAAATGCCAAATACTGCACATAAGTTTTCAAAATGTCGATAATCAGAAAGTGATACCAATATATGCTACTCGTATTTGAATTTTAAATACACACCTGTGCCAAATCCAGTAGCTTGAACTGGTTTCCACTTTAAAACTTATGGCTGCCATGGTAAAGGCTACAAGACCAGCTGCCATAAAGCCCCAATGAAACCGTTTCTTGAGTGTCTTGATTAAACTACTAAACCATTCTTTGACTGCCCTTGGCCTTTTAACAAACATATGACAGAACTCAGATATGTTATATGCTTGATCAGATTGTGATAACACAGTAAAAATAATGGTTTCCTTTCTATTACCTGTCCAGCATGTTCATAGAAAATCCAGCTGAACCGCAATATGATCTATACTTTGTAATAAACTCTACCAAAAACCCAATGAGAAGACCAAGTGATCCAATAGCTAATACAATGATAACATTCGACGCCCTGCAAGCAAAGTGATAGTGAGCCAAGGTAACAGTTTGGGAATAGTATTAAAGTGCGAAGTATCATAACCATTTAGTCCAACATCTTACATACCTTGTTGCCTTGGTTAAGGCTAATAAAGCTGTGAGAATGGCGACAACTGTGTGTATTGTCCTCTTGATTGATTCATCAGCCGTGGATAAGTACACAAAGGTACCAATCACAGCCATGAAAGAGAGCCAGAAATCCATAAACTGGAGCAAATAAAAATTTACCATCTAGTAACTAAGTCTCAATTTACACAGAAGTTGACAATGATGCACAGATAATAACTAACTGTACCTGTAACACGTTGTAAGTTAACACACACCAGGTGCCTACATCACACGCATGATACAGAGCGCTTGAGATTCCGCTAGATGTGAAAAGAACCCACTCTGGATACTCCTGTTTAGTGTTTGAATCGAATCAGCAGATCTTCAAAGAGTAAAAGAAACAAACAAAGACCATTGAACTAAAATGTGTATTACTCGCTGCCGAAGAGCCCAATAAGCTGGCAAAAGAGCTGCTGCATTTGATGCTATGAGAGCAATAGACTGAATGATATGTCCTGCATCAGGTTTTTTAGCACATGAGTACATAGCAAAAACGGTCAAAGTTTCAAACACTGGTAGATTAGACTAAGATACCTTGTTGTGATACAACTTCAATGCTACAGTCAAAGCCTCCATGTGTTCGGTCACAAGAGCAAAAGCTGAAACAAAACACAAGAGGTTAAATCTACTCACCATATGTTTACAAAATTTGAATTTAGAAGAAACCTGTAGGAAGTCAATCCACTAGCGTCAAAAGCATATCTGCAATTCCCATGAGAGGAACACCTTCTGGGACATCTTTCAAGAGAAAGAGATACAAGAGTAGGTGGACCTTTAGAGCCTGTGGTAGCAGTAGACTCACTGAGCTTCCTTAACCCCAACGACCATGTTCCTTCTCTAGCATACAAGATGTAGAAGTCAACTTTCTCTCGGCTAGAATTATACAGTGAGAAGAACATTGAGCGGCTGGCACTTGTCTGATTCGCATAATAATAGTCCCTGTCTTCAACAGTAGGCAATCCACCAAACCTAAGATACACTTCATACTTTACCGTCGAATCTGATGTCAACCTGAAGTGGATATGCCCACCAGCACCTCCTTGAGGGATGTTCATGAGGAAATAAGTCCATGTGCTTGTGTCTAAGGGAAGAGAGGAAACGTTGCTGACAATAGGTTCAAGGGGGAAGTTTGTGGTCGAGTCTGAAGGTGAAGAAGCGTCATTGACAGGCAAATAATATGATTCAAAAGGTGTCAACCATCCTCTCCCCATAACGGCCTGTATAAAAATGTATAGTGTTTCATAAGTTATAGAGCTTGACATACTCAGAAAGCATTTTAGAGAAAATCACCTGAAGCATGTAGATTTGTTGCCCACAGTTTGGTCCTGCTTTTCCTACAGGACACCCTAGTACTTTAACGTTTAATGAAAAGCAGACCTTAGAGCTAGAATCAGTGCCTTGTACAAGACGATTCTCCCTTCCAGAGATACTAGCAACTATATACCACCGACCAACTTTCGGTTTGTTAATAACTAAAGGAGCTTTGTGTATATCACCAGCGTAATCATGTAGAGTCTCTGAAGCAATAGCTCCAAAGCGAGCGTAACACATGAGGTAGCTTTCATTTGAATCTACTTTCACATTGGATGCCATTATAACTAACTGCTCAGCTATTCCATCAACATCTAAGGCGTATGTCTTTGTTTCAACACCGGTTAGGCAAGAAATAGGAGAGGAATCCGAGCAGGAAACAACGCTTCCTGTCTGGTTATCGAACCGAGAACACGAAAGAGGATATATAGTTTGGTTGCAGGAAGGTCCCCACATGGTAGCGGTTTTACAACCTTCCACAGTAATGTTGGCACTAAATGAAAACGCAGAGGAGCGAACAATCTGTGGAGTATCATTCAGAGTATGTATCAGAGATCTAACTTAGAAAAAGAAAAGATGACTGTAACCAAAGCATATACATACCATTTTTCCCTGAGTTCTAGTAACTCCAATTCCGTTAAAAAGACCAACATACCAAGCTCCAGGAGATATCTGCAAGCAACAACATGAAAAAGAGTAACTCATCATCTTAAATGTCGTAATAACACGAAATTTTTGAAGGGTAATAATTTTTCAAAAGCTTACCTGTTCATTGGTCAATCTCAAGGAAATGTTCTTCTGCATAGGGTAACACTGTTCTGCAATCTCAATATCTTGAGCTCCATCAAAAGAACCATTGAATAACCGTCCTAGCTCTACACATCAAAAAGGCAAAACACTTTCTTAAAATAGTAAATTATGTAATCTCTTTTATTTACTAACCAGACAAAGAAGCATCACTACATGTGTACCTAAACCTTTGAGAGCGTTGTTTGATGCATCAGGCAGAGGAGGACTACCATCTCTAAAACATATAACAGGAAGAAGACTTTTTGAAATCTTCCGGATGCTCTTTGCACTCTTAAAAACAAATCCAAAATCAAAATCAAATTTGGATCAAAAATCAAAACCAGTTGAGAGACCATAGCTATAAAAAACTTACGATGTCTACATTAGATTCCATAGCAACATTCAACGAAGAGAACCATGGAGGCAAATCAACTACACAGAAAAAAAAAATACAGTTCACAAATAAAGATCCTTCTTATTTAAAAAAAAAATGATCTGAAACGAAAATTAGTCAGATGCAACAGACCTCTGATGTAACGAGTATCGTAGGGTCCGACTTGTGATTTTGGGTACCTGAAGCTCGAGACTGTGAAAAAGCTTCCATTATTGTCCTCTTCCAACACAGAATCTTGTTGGAGAGAATCAGAGATTGAGACAGCACATGAGAGGAAGAAGAGAAGGAGAGCTGTTAAACCAAGAACCGAAATCTCCGCCATTTTGATCAAAGTTGAGATCTTTTTTGCTGATGATTTTTAAGGGTTTAAGAACTATTTTAGTGTGAGTAGAAAGAAGATTAAGCGCATCGTTCCAGAGAATTTTCGGACGAAATTATTTTTAATTATTTGATCAAATTCTGACACTTTTACTTTTGTTTCTTTCTTTTGGTCCAGTTCCAATCACGCGCCATAGGATACCTTAGTATCTTCACTCGCTAATCCAACGGTTGTATAGTGATCTAGGATTTTTAATGCAACGGCGCGTGGTTGACATAGTTTGATTAGCATGACCATTGATTTTTGAGAAATTGGCGTCAGTGTACCCAAATGGATCACATATTTGCCATATAACCTCAAGCATATAGTCTACATTTTTATGACCATTTTACCCCGACGAGCTACTTTCCCCTATGACCCATAGACTGTTGCGTGACAGAGGGAAGCGTTCTACACACTAGATAATTCAATGTCTCACTGCTCCAAAAGAAAACAAAACAGCACTAGATGCATATCGGTTTCCGTCCAGAGCATCGAAGAGACTCATTTATTCTTATTTCTGCACCCACCCTAATTTGATATTTCTATCAATATTCTTCAATCATTTCATTCCATCATTTCATTCCATCATTTCTAAACCCAAAATCCTCTCCTTCTCCATTTTTTGATAAATTCTCTAAATCTTCAGTTTCTGTTGTTTCCTTCTGCCAAAATTTGCGTTTAATGGAGGAAAATCTTCAATTTCTGTTGTTTACTGAATACCAGGTCAGTTATCTCTGTAAGAGTTTTTGAAATTATTAGATAGACTATTATTCGCTACCGTTTTGATTAGCAACAAGCTTTCACCATGGTAATTTGACTGTTCATTCTCTGAAGCTAAGTATATTTGTTAGGCGTTAAATATTGTAGAATTCTAAGAAGGATAACCTAAAGCGTTAGATGCTGCATATTTTACCTAGAACCCCGGTAGATATCCCATACGTTGTTTGTTAACGTCACATTTTACATGTTAACTTGTTTAATTACAGATATAAAATAGCTTACTTCAAGAACCAAGGGGTAGTAACCCATTCGTTGTTTGTTATCCTTATTGGTGTCCGCTAACTTGTTTAATAACTGTTAATAATACTTAATTTATAGAACTATGTAGGTTATCTCTTTTGTTGTTTGTTAACTTTGCATTTGCCTGCTAACCCGTTCAATTGCGATCAAATAATAATTTATTTGTTTTACACTTATTTATCAATTACACGGCAAGCTTAATTCACCCTCTTGTTGCAGTGCCCGTGAAGTCCATTATTGATGATCCGTATGAAGAATGGTCATATGGAGCAGATTTTGATTGGGTTGATGAAACAGAAGACGTGGCTGTAAATCATATGGTTTGCTTGATCAGTGAGGATTTTAGGTTTCAGAATGAATTGTTTAAAGGTGGCCTTACCAGGAATGATCTTGCACGCATGAGGTTCTGGAAGAAACATAAAGAAAAAGAACCGAAAGAAAGATTGACAAGAACAACGTGGTAAAGATGAAAGATGGAGTCTTCCGACTCACAAGCCTATAACGGTTAACTATTTACCAAACTTGCAAGTTTATGGTTTGTTGTCTACTTACAAATTTATCGTTTGGTTCGCCTTTTTTCTTATTTTTTTATCATTTTACCGCATAATTTTGTAATATGCTAAACAACAATACTACATGTGAACATTTAATTTGACCTTGCTTTCTTATTATCATATAGCGTGCCTCAAAAATATATTGGTTAGTACCAAATATATTACATTAACAGTTAATCGTTGCACTGACCAAATTTGAACGGCTAACCGTAAATTTGTTCTCCCATCGGTTTCTAGCCAACTCCATGTATTAGGCGCTAACACATTTGTTATTCGATAACTTTCACCTGTTCGCTTCTGTTGTTCTGGCAGCGCTAAGTGTTCACTATTATCTGCTAACATAATGTGTACCCGCTAAATTCTAGAGTTACACGCTTTGTAAGCTAGGTAACGTTTGGCAATAACAAAGCTAACCGTTAATATATATTGGATATGTAACACAACCTATTAACTGTTATAGAATATCTTATCGCTAACGTAATCTCGATTTGATCTTCCATATTTTATCTCTTTCTTCTTCTCTTCTTCTTCAATACATAGTCTCTTAATCAGCCTATGCTTTATAGTCTCTATGATGTCGTCGCTTGTCTCTTCCTCTTCTCTTGAATCTTAAATTTCGTTTACTCTTTCTAATAATAAGAATATAAACAAGCCTAATACACATTTAATATATCTTCAAATTTGTATCAAAAGAAAAATATTCTGAGCATTGATCCGCCATTAATGCAGTTTTCTTGAACCTTACATAATCTATTTGTTATTGTTTTGATTAGAGTGAAAAGAAATATTAAAGGCTGTATAAAATCTACTCTTTATCCACCGGATTTTTCAGTGAAGCGTCATCTATGGTCAGACCTAGGTCTGCCACCACTCTGCACCTAATCCTCTTCTGCATATCCTCTATGATCAGAAAGAAGGGGCATTATCGTCCTTCTAAGCCTAAAAGTATAGCTGTCTTTGGAGTTTATTTCCAAGAGGACATTTGACTAATATGGATCTATGTTAGGTACATTACACATAATCTCTCTTGATTTTTGATGCAAAGACTTCGGTCATCAGTAGTTTATTACGTTGTTGGTCAGAGACAAGAGTCATACTAATCAGTAGATTAACATGACCATTAGCTTAATTTATTTAACTTTGTTCTGGTAAAACTTGTGTGTATTAATTAACCTTTTTTATTAGTAAAAACTTGTGTGTAGCCAAAACTGATCAATCATATCATTTATTCAAAACCAAATTGCAAACTTGATATAATTATAATTACAAAGATTAGGTACTGTTTATTTTTACCAAATAGTAAAAGATAAAACTCTTATCTTATGTATTCAAAAAAAAGTTGTGTATTTACTTTTTGTATTTTTATTAGAATCCGGTTTTTCAGTATTAATGTTGAAAGGGGATCAATTTGTGATATTGTCAATTCTGTATTCAAATACGCAAATTACAAGTCGCCATTCTTAATTTTAGCCTCTGTGTGATTTGGTGTTTTGTTATTATTACATGATCCATCATAACTGAAGAAATTGATAAAAGCCATAACTCTTCAGTAGCTTAGACAAGTATATAGATAAAAATGTATGTTTGTCTCATTATATCATATCATTTATTGAAAACCAAATTAAAAATAAGTTATAAAAGAACGAGAGATTAAAAAAAATAGAGAGGCTTGAAAAGGAATCATCATCAAGCATGTTTGTTTTGTTGGGTCTCCTCAGTGGTCAGGATTGAATTTGACAGACTCCTTGTAGATAAGCTCTTTTATGTGTTCTTCTGTGCATGAAGGATGCTCGAAATCGAAGCTGAATGGAGTTGGACATATAGGTTCTTTTACCACATCGTGGTGCGGTGATAGGTATGCATGGTCAAGAGCATCATCGACTATATACACAAACAACATAAGCAGCAAAAACACAATAAATAACCAAACATAAACTTCAAAAAACTTGTGGATGTTGTTGTTACCTGAGATACGCTGGTTTGGATCAAACACAAGCATTTTCTCTAGCAAATCGGTAGCGGTAGGAGGCATTTTTGGGAATCTAGCAGCAAATTCTTGTTTAGGGTATCGTGGAAGTTGCCTCACATATCTTCTTGCATTGTCACTGCGAAGGAAACCGAGACTGGAGTTGTCTGGAGAGCCTACAAGCTGATTTCAAACGAGTGATTTTAAGTAGGGCTGAGATTTTGTACCAAACCAAAATTTGTGGTTAATTTGATTTAATTTGATTTGATATGTTTTTCAAAAAAAAAAATTGGTTTTAGATTTGACAATTGGTTACTTTACTTTTCTTTTAAAAAGAATTGAAAATTATAACCCAACCATACCAAACCCAAACTGAACTAACTGAATTTTACAAATTAACTAAATATAACAGTCATCAAAAACTTTGGTAGAATTTTCAAAAACCGAACTAATCAAATACTAAACCGAACTTTATGTCGGGATAATTCCGTAAAATTTATGTTGAATCGAACTATCAAAAACCAGATTAACCGAAAACGAAACTACCCGAACCAAATTATCATAACTACCCAAACCTGCATGCTTACTTTTAAGTGAATAATAAAGGTAACTACGGTTGTCAGACAAGGTAAAAACTGATGTTTTTGTTACCTCTGTAATGAGCCTAAGCTGATGCACATAATCTTTCCCAGGGAACAAAGGTTGCCCCGTCATGATTTCGCCGAGTATGCAACCGACAGACCATATGTCAATAGCTGCAGTGTACTCTGAACAGTTAAGAAGCAGCTCAGGAGCTCTGTACCAGCGAGTAACAACATATTCAGTCATGAAGTCTGTGTCTGAAGTTGTTCTCGCAAGCCCAAAATCACCAATCTTTAGCTCGTGTTTGGAGTTAAGCAGCACGTTGCTTGGCCTTAGATCACGATGTAATATGTTGGCTGAGTGCACGTACTTGAGCCCTCTTAAGAGCTGGTACACAAAGAACTGTAACACGAAGATAAGTTGATAAACATCAGACTAGAGAATTCAACAGTTGCATAAGATTAGATTAGACTTACGCGGCACTGATCATGGCTTAAGGTTTGCTTAGAACGGAGGATTCGCTGAAGATCAGTGTCCATTAACTCATAGACAATGTAAACATCGTTGAAGATATCACGTTGTGGAGGTCTTACAATATCTTTGATGGCTATGACCTGAAGCAATCAAAACCAAGGCTTTAAGATCAGATTGATTAAAGATTAAAGAGAGAAAAAATAAACAGATGAAACAGAGTATCCTCTGTTTTTCTCGTCCTTGAAGAAACTTAATATGATAAATGAGTGTTTAAGGATTACGTTCTCATGATCCATATGCCTGAGAAGCTTGATTTCACGTAGAGCTCTCTTAGCATCAATAATGTTATCAAAAGCATTCCCAATCTTCTTGATAGCCACTTTCTCTCCACTCACTGAGTTAACCGCAGCACTGAACACACAAGAACCAAGAGCCAATGAACAGTCAAAAAGATGAGAGGGTTTGGTAACTGATCGTAAGAAGAGTCTAAAGAACTTACCAGACAATACCGCAAGCACCTCTACCAATGGGACGGATAGGAGGGACATACTTTCTTGAAACTTCAAAGAGCTGTCCATAAACGTTGTACTGAATATAACGGCCTCCGTGTGTAGGTACAACTTTGATGCAATGGTCAGTAGAGCAAGAGCTTGATTCTCCAGACATGATGCAATGCTCAAAGACAAGAATCAGATAGAGAGAGAGAGAGAGAGAGACCAAGAAGAAGGGCTTTTGTTGAAGTTGAAGGATCTTTCTAAAGTCTCTCTTGAAGACACTAAATCCATGTGAAAAGAAAGAAGCTTTATTCAGCTGTAAAAGATCTAATCTCAAGTGACCCGTGAATCTAAAGAACATGGAAGATTACGTACGTGTATGGTCACAAGAGTCATAGCTCAATATTGCAAATTTCATTTGTTACTCTACTAATTCACCTATCTACATCTTCTCCAACTGCAAATTGAAGTTAATTTAGAAAAATAGGATCTGTATTTAGTTTTTTTTTTTTAACCATATATTTGTATTTAGTTATTTACAAAGAAAGTAGCGTTTTTTTCTTTTCCAAACCATATATTTGTATTATATTGCAATTGAGTTCAATCAATACAGACAAGGCTAACACACTTACACCAAAGAGACAAAGCTCGACAAATGGACTAGAGCAGACAAGACAAGAGAAACACTTTCAGTAACCTAAACCTGTCTTAAGGCTTAAACTTACTGTTTACCTAATACTCTTAATCTAAATCTTCTCCAACAAAGCCAGATAATGAGTCACTTGACCTAAGATTACAGAGCAACACATCTCGTCCACTCAAAGTCATTTTGAAGAAACTATCAACTTCCTCTAATAACTGATCTAAACCCTGAGACAATTTCTCAGCTTGCATCCTCAACACCATTACATAGTCCTTAAAAGTTTCAACTTCCACTATACCAACACCATCTTGAATCATCGGGTACAGCTTCTCCACGCTAGCATCAACACTCTCCACCTCTTTGAGAATCGTACTTCTTCTACCGGAAGACAACAAGTCTCGGATCTCACCATTCACAACACTCTGCATATCAGTAAACACCTTTGCCCATAACGGCTTCTCAGAGACATGTAAATCGAAAAGATCATTGGTGGAATCAGACCAGGCCGCGGTAAACACACTGCAGATATAAACCGTTTGAACCTTCACACCGTAAAAAGCCCTCATAAGAACCTTCCCTTTAGCCGAGTTCTTGACTTTAGGCAAGCTCAGAGATTTAGCAAGACAATCAAGAACCGAACGACAAGTTTCAATCCTAGCGTTGCTTGCGTTAACATGTTGTCTCCAGCAATCAAGCGAAGACCGAGCTTGGAGATACTTCTCCCCAGAATCAGACTGTAAACTATGCAGAACACACTTAAGGTAAAGATCTCCCTGGTTGAGACGCGTGAGCTCCGAGCTAAAGGCATTACAAAGATCTAGCAACTTAACACTTATGTCGAGGTAAACATCAACCCATTTCTCTTCCCAGTCAGAGACAGGAAGCTGGAGATCAGTGATGAGTGTGTTTACGTTGTTATGGGTCTCGCAGAGTGACTCCATAGCTAGCTTCATCCATGATAAAGTGAGGATATCATCTTTGTTCTTAGGGATGAGTTTCTTGAATCTCTCTGCTAAAAGCAACTCAAAGCTGTTCAGTAGTGAATGCAGCCACGGAGATAAAGCTGAGCTCTTTGGTGATAACATCCTAAAAGGGTTCCCAAATGGGAAGAAACCTCGTGGTGGATCATGTGGTCTGCTCATTTTGCTACACACCGAAACAAAAAAAAAACAAAGAGATGATATTTGAGTTAATCAATCAAACAAGCTTATAGAGGAACAATCTCAACCTTAAAGTCTCAAAAAAAGCTGACAACTTTACAGATCTTGAAGCATAAAAAACGAAACTTTCCATTTAATTATTGTAACCCACATGGAAACAAACCATAATCTAACATTTGAGGATCGGCAATAACCCTAAAACTAAACATTCAGAACTTGATTTTCTCAGTAAGAACACACATAAACGTAAATAAAGAGACATGGGGCTGAAATGAAGCTCAATTTCAAGGAATCTTTACCGTCTTACGTTCGATGGAGATGAAGAAAATCACAAGGAAAGTATGGTGGAAATGATCTTCTAATGCTTCATTGACTTTTCTTCGTCGGTTGGTTAGCTGAGAAAAACTTATGGCGAAGGTCGGCCGTCAAGTTATAAGGATAGAGTCACTGCCTGTCACACAAAAGCGTTAGTTCAAACTTACACGTGTACTGTTGTGAATGGTGGTTGTGTTTAATTTTTTTCACTGTTCTGATTAATAAGTGGACGGCTGATCAAATACTTTTTTTTATGGAAAAGCCAAATCCAACGGCTACAAAGGAATATCTAGGACAAGTCTTTTTACTAAAATGTTTTACGGGCCATAAAGTTAGGCCCAATAAAGGATTTAAAAGAGAGGAATCGGCCCAAAAGCGTTGCGAAAGCCTCTCTTTGAGGCAGAGGGTGTTCTTCAAGTAACGAATCTTGCGACGAACTATACTGATAACCGGCGATGATACGTCTCCCGGAGCCGAAGTTACGGCCACATAATGATGCTACGATCAAATTGCTGCATTTCAAATTGCCCTTACACGGCGAAACAACCTTCGTTCCTTAGACCATTTCACCGTATTTCCTCCAGTCTCTCCTCTGGTCGCATCAACCTTCACGGTGGTTCCGCCGCCGTATCCTCCTCACGCCTCCGTGATCTCGTTTTCGTCGTAAACCCTCAAGGTGTGTTTGCCCTTTTACTCAAGTGGAAGAAAGACTGTGACTTTGGATTTAAAAATATGATTTTTATGTATATGAGAATCAATCAATCTCGAGGTTGGCTGAATTTTGACTTTGTTGTTGAATTAGGAGCTAACGGTAGAACAGCTAAGGAGTGGAAGAAGTTGCTTCCTTACCTTCGATCTCGTCTTTCTAAAGACTGTAATGTGAGTTTTTTTATTTTATTTCGCTTACCTAGTTGTTTGCTATGTGTGTGAGAGAGAGAGTTTCATGGCTTCTTGTTTGTTTGTTTACTGCCAGATAAAAGAATCTTTAACAACGGGTCCTTCTCATGCCATTGACATTACAAGAGAGGTAAGTGGCGGCAGTGAAAGTTATAATTATTCATTACTTTGATGGGTTCTGTTTTCTCTGATTATTTGTTGCTTTCTGTCAGGCTATTAAGGATGGTGCAGATGCTGTGATTGCGGTAGGAGGTGATGGAACACTGCATGAGGTAAGGACTTCGAATATTTGGTTGATAGAACCGAGCTCGGTACACTCATTCTGTCTTTTTTATTTATTTAACAGGTTGTTAATGGTTTCTTTTGGGAGGGAAAACCTGTCAGTAATCTCAATGGCGAAGCTAGTCATTCAGCTGCACTTGGTGTGAGTAGCATGAGATTAGTTTTTTTACTTGCTTTTGTGTATCCTCTTGTGGAGTTACAACTTACAATCTGATCCCATCTTTTTCTTCTTCTTCTATTTTTTTTTTTTGCAGCTGATTCCCTTAGGTACTGGCTCGGATTTTGCTAGAACGTTTGGTTGGTTAGTTTTTGGCAACTTCAGTTTGATGTGATTTGTTTTCGGAACTTATGTTGAGCCAATCTTTTGAGTATAATCTGCGTTTTGTTAGGAAAAATGATCCTTGTGAAGCTGTGGAGCGCATTGCCAAAGGTATGTCACTGAAAACATTCTAGGAGTTTGGACGAACAATGTGTAATTATGTCTGCGATTTTGCAGGTATACGATCAAGTGTTGATGTTGGTGTTATCGACCACGAAGGAAGAGATTTGCATTACTTCATTAACGTTGCTGACGTTCACTTGTAAGGATACCACATAAACTCCCCGTTTGATTGATCCTTAATGAGAAGGTTGTAAATCTTCTTTGTTTGTTGCTCCATCACTTGCAGGAGCGCAAAGGCAGGTTTTTACGCATCAAAGTACAAGAAATTTGGAAGCTTATGCTACGTTATCGGTGCCCTCCAAGCTTTTATGGGACATCATAACCGAGACATGAGAATCAAGGTAAAACAGCCTTCTCTGCAAAAACTCTTCTTCACCGGAGCAAGTTAGTTTGAAAGCATTGTTGTTTGTATTCTAAGGTCAATGGAGGTGAATGGGAGATATATCCTCAAGTCACAGCTCTCTGCGTTGGAAACGCTAAGTACTTTGGTGGTGGAATGAAAATCACTCCCAACGCTGTCCCTGGAAATGGAAATCTTGAGGTCATTAGATCTGTTTGATCCTAACTTTCATAGATGTGAATAGCTTTTGAACATTCATACTCTTCTCTCTGCAGGTTGTGGTTCTACAAGATTTCAAATGGTACGATTTCATTCTAAAACTTCATAAGCTATACAACGGGACGCATCTCTCTGTTCACAATGTTAGCTCAAGAAGGTCAGACTTTTTTCTTCTGTCTTCTCAACACTTTGGTCTGTAAATGTCCTCACATCTTTTTTATGTAATGTAGTGTACAAAGCATAGAAGTTGAGGAGATCTCAGAAAGTGGAAGTATATATGTTCAGTCAGATGGAGAACATCTTGGATTCCTACCTAGAAAGTTTCAGGTTTTACCCAGTGCCATCGACATGATCATCTAATTCACACAACCAAACCCGCTGCCAACAAAGTGTAGAAGAACCATTACATTCACGTTTTTTTTTTGTTTTGGTCGGTAGAAAGATTCTTCTTATCTAAAATTTGATTCATCGTTTAACGAATCAGATAAGTGATCGTGTTGTGTTGTTACAATCACTACTTTGTGTGGTCACAACTAACCACACATTAGATACTTATTAAAAGTAAACTCGTCGTGTCCTATCTATAATCAATCAGCCAACAATGGTATCTTCTCTTTCCCTTCATTCCATCGCCACCGTCAACCCCATTAATGGCCGTTCAACCTTCCGACGTAACCGCCGCCAATTTTTCTCAACTGGAGTGAGCTGCAGAGGACAGAGTCCACCAACCAACGAGCCACGGACAACAAGTAAAAGCCCCGAACCGGAGAATGTTCTACTCAAACTCGCTTGGTACGGTTCAGAGCTGCTCGGAATCGCTGCTTCAGCTTTCCGATCTCCGGCGTCTCCTCCTCCTACAACAACCGTCCCAAGCTACGAGATTCCGGTTGATTGTTCGGGGAGAGCAGTTCGTGTAGCTGTCGTGGACTCAATTAAACAAGACTTCAAGCGGTCTTATTTCGTTACAGGTCAGTAGAAAAAAACAAAAAGACATGATCTTTGAGTGTGTTCTGTCTTTTTTTTTGTTACTTGTAATGAAGATTCTTTTTTTTTTTCCAGGGGACTTGACGCCGGCGGTTTATGAGGAGAAGTGTGAGTTTGCTGATCCTGCTGGTTCTTTCAAGGGACTTACTCGTTTCAAAAGGAATTGTACTAACTTCGGATCCTTGATTGAGAAATCGAATATGAAGCTCATGAAATGGGAGAATTTTGAGGTACTCTTGTCAGCTATTCCGACGTCGGAGAAAAAAAAAGGATTGTTTTTTTAATGTTTTATCGACATGGGTTTTTGCAGGAGAAAGGAGTTGGGCACTGGAAGTTTAGCTGTGTCATGTCGTTTCCATGGAAACCCATTCTCTCAGGTATTCATGTTTTGGATAAAGTTTGAAACTTTAATGGTTAGAGTCTTCAATGACAAACAAAGAAAGACAAAAACTTTTATGTCTTGTTATGGATAATTTATGAGAAGGAAGTCTATTTTTTTTACAGCTACTGGTTACACTGAGTATTACTTCGATACAGAATCCGGGAAAATTTGCAGGTAAGTGTGATTAGTTCTTATGAGCTCATTATATCAAAAGTTTTTATCTTTCTCATTTACTGATGTAATGGGTTTATGCAAGACATGTGGAGCATTGGAATGTGCCTAAGATTGCTCTGTTCAAGCAGCTACTGAGACCTAGCCGTGGACTAATGGGAACACAAAACTAGCAGAGGATGATGATGATGAATGTTGAAGTCACTTTTTTCTTAGATTCCACTTTTTAAAACAGTAAATATATAAACTTTGTACTGTACTATTGTACCTCTGTAATTAATCTATCGAGTAGACAATAATGAGATCATAAAGTTATGAATTTGCATCAGCTTAAGGCAAAGATACCTCCTCGGTTGGAGAACCGGCAGAGTAACCCTTCATGAACTTCTTCAGCTTCTATGATCCACTTAAATACCTATTTCATAATCTAAATTTACCCACTAACCCAACTCTTTTACTTTTCTGTGTTTCTAATTTCAAAGTTATGTGACATTAGTGATATAGTCTTAGCTTAGAATCTTGACAAGAAATAACAAAGCTAGATTAACATCTCAAGTGATTCATATAGCACTAAATCTTGATCAATTTGCAACTTTAATAGCTCTAGTTGGGTCTCTGATATATTTCATCAAACGTACGATCAATGTAAGCACCATTTATACATACTAGAGATTATTTCCGCGCTACGCGCGGATTATATATTTTAATTTTATTCATATAATGTTTATTAAGTCTGTTTGTTGTGCTATATTGTCTCTCTCTGTTTCATAAAGATACATATTCTAGAAAAAATTCGTGTCTCAAAAAGATATATATTTTAGATTTTTAATGCATTTTTATCAACTAATAACGAAAAATGTAAATTTCAAAAACATTAATTGCATTTCTTGAAATCTTATTGATTTAAAAATATGGAAAATATAAAATTACAAAAATTTATGCATTAATAACTAAGTTTTAATACTTTTCTTAATAGGTGTGAAAAACTTAAAACATGTATTATTTTGAAATTGAGGGAGTATTACTTTGATATCTCATTTTTCTTTAAATATTTATTTATTAAAGTATCATATATTTTGTTGTAAATGTGAGACACTGATTTGATATTGAGTTGTTATGATATAAAATGTTTTTATTTGGTTAAGAAAGAACTATAATAGAAGATATATCTTTCATATTGAATGCTAGGTTAATTAGTTGTAATATGTTAATTTTATTATTTTATATGAAATATATTCAAATTGGAAAATAATTTTTTTTTTGTAATCGTACCATTATGATAGTTATGAAATCATGTGTTTTCACCTCACCAACTGAGATCGTTGAAAATGAAATCTGGTCACCTGGAAATCCTCTTTTTTTTTTTAAGACCAGAAAATACCAAATGTGAATCTTTATAAGTTATTATACTCCCTCTGTTTCATTATAAGTGTCACTCTACAGCTGTGCACACGGATTAAGGAAACAATTAATTTTACATATTTCCTATATAAAAACACAATTACCCATACACCTAACCATACTTTAACCAATAGAAAAATAAATTACATAATAAAATTAATAAATTTTGCATTGAAAACCAAAAACGACACTTATTTTGTAACGCAAAAAAATCTCTACAACGACACTTAATATGAAACGGAGGGAGTAGTAGATAATTGATCTTAATTAAAAACACATATTCACGACACATCAGTTTCTTGGGTTAAAGCAATCATTTGAGTGAGGTGGCATGATACTCTTCTTCCTCTTAAATTCTATCATTCTCTTTTCTTTCAATCCACGTTTCTTGCTTTGATTCTCTTATTTGAACCAGTTCATTTAAGTTACATGCATGTACCTGTAGATTCTAATGGGCACCAACACTGTGATTCTCTAGAGTATAGTCGTGAGGTACCTTCTAGTTCAACAGCTTAGGATGATATGCGATTAAAATCAGTAAACCAAAACTAAGCACATAGTCAGGTCTTATTCAATTTCCTTATCATTCTCCTTGCAAGACACAAGAGAATCTCTCCAGTCAGTATCTATTCAGCTCTGTTCCTCCAGATTTTGTTGATCATTAACTCGTATCTTTGAGCATCTCTACTTTTACTCTCAAGATAACTCGGCCACCCAATGGCTCTGTCTCTGCTTTCTTTCCTCTGCTACCAATGTTAGCTCTCTGTCACTATTCTTGCGTATCCACTTGAGCGCCTCTGTGGAGCTAAAAGAGAAACCTGTGTCTTCACTTCATCTTCCATGATGGATACACTGGCCTCTACAAAACGATTCATCTGAACATTGAAATACATGATAAGGAACAGCCTTGGTTTTGATTGTTGTAAGAGTAAGTATAAAGAGACAAAGCGGAAAAATTGTACGCGTGACCACAAAAGGTATGTGCATATGTGAATCTTAATTCAATTGGACAACTATCTGAAAAATCTTAAAAGCAGTTTCGTGATCTTAACGCAAACTGTAGCAATTCCCAACAGCACACATTCTTTTCAAATTAAAAAGAAAAAAACTATTAGTTGAAGAAAATATAAAAAGCACCAATAAGACAAACCTCGGGTGAAATAACCAACATCATGGATAGTGGAGGCAACTGCCGAAAGTATTAGCAACATTAAAATTCTAAAAAAAGCGGTGAATTCTTGTGAAGAAACTCAGACCAAAATAAAGTAGATCACATGAAGTGTTTTTTTTTGTTTACATTAGAATAAAAACAGTGAGTGATACACATAGGATATGGTCATCGAGAAAAAGAAGAGGTTAAGAGGTAATAAATCCAAACACATCCAATAAGGTATGTCATTGTAAAACACAAAACCATAATGCATCGTTCAGTAAACTAATAAAGCGTATGAGAAAGAAAGAGAGAATATCATACACTGGTTATTCTGTTCTTCAATCTCTCAGGAGAAAGGTCATTCCCCAAAAGCAGTATATGGAAAACCCAAGCTATGTAACCTTTCATTCTACCTGCACAACGAAAACGTCAAGTCTGGCGTAGCTACGATGATATGCAGGAACTACAAAAGGATAAAGGTTGGTTAACATATACAAACGATACTTCTTTTGAGCTAAATATCTGTAGAGATAATGAAAATGTCATGAATGCAACTTTATGAGCTGATAAGAAACTCAGTTCCCTGGATTTCATGAATCTATTCCGAGTGGGTGGAGATAAGCGGTCATCTGAAATCATCTTTTGAGCCAGATAGTCTAACCCCATCTCTTCTTTCAGGTGATTCAATAAAATACGACACATAATCAGTAAAATTAAAATACTAACATAATAATCTTGCATGCTGGTCTAAAATCAACCTCTGAGTTAACATCATAAGATACACTATTACTATGAACTGCATTTGCTTACTCTTTAGAGTTTAGATGCACCAAGACTCAACCGACTTTCTTTGTCCATTCCGTAAAGAACCAGCTGTTGGTGGAGAGGCTGCTCATTGATGAGCTTCATGTGCCCATCGACGTCAGCCGCAATCGCTGAAGAAATTATTATAGCAATAGTACAAAAGTTAAGTAAATCATTCTAGGAGGTGACAAAATAATAAATTTTACTGTAGAGCTATCTCTTAGGCCACAATCCGCCTCAAATCTTCTAATGAATGGAAAATGAATCTATGAGTCAATAACAACCTGGTTCTCTTCAAGCGGATCTGTGTGTGAAACAAATGGTGAGACTGTCACAGTCAGACATAGGTGTCTTTGTTATTTTTTGTAAAGAAATTGTTAAATTTAAAAATCCCACGCTTGTGAACTTCGTATCCCGCTAAACGGTTGGAAGAAATGATGAACCAGTAAATGCAAGAAGTTAGTCACTGGATTTTGAATAATCGGAAGAGTACAATGATTTCATACCTGTTCATTGTTCATTATCAGTTCAACACCCATAAGTATGCTCCCTCTCGGTATGTTTCCTGCTTCCTTTCCGTTATCTAACCGAAAATAGAGCCCCGCGGCTCCGCCTCTCCCAAACCAAGAGTGACGTCGTTGAAGATCAGCGCTTTTTTTTGGCTAAATAAGATCAGAGTTCTGGGTGTCTTGCCTTTAGACTTTGCCATATTGATAGCTATTAGTTGCTTCGACTATTAGTCGGATGACTTTTGTGAAGGCGAAAAGCCAAAGTATGGAGGCATACATATTGTGTGGAGTGGAAGAATTGAGAACAGTAGATAGTGTGGGATTATAGCAGTAATGAATGGGTTTAAAGAGCCATCGTGGTGTGTAGAACGTTTCATGAATATTGGAGATTGATAGATAACGGAAGGGATTTTCAGAGGAGAAGGAGGAAGACGAAGTGGATGAGTCTGCGTGGGTTAGGGTCTGCTTGAAAATTGGGCTTATTTACTGGTCATTGTAAAACGTAACAAACAAATTATATATGGGCTAAATGTGAAACATGGTGATGAAACTGACATGTCACTCTTTAATTGGTTGGAATATATTAGCTTACGTGGCATAGCTAAAAAGCCTTGATTAACAACTTTTAATAGTGTAAGATAATTACCATTTGTACACATCTTACAATGGAATATAATATAGTTGAATCAGAAGAAACCTTCAATGATCTTAAACGCTGAGTTTTTACAGAGGCAAGTTGCTTATGCACGCCTGTTCTTTCTCCAGTCCCATGGCTTTTCAGGATTTGAAGAAGCCCACAAGCCTACACGCTTCTGCCTTGCTTCTTTCTCCCACTGATTTTCACATCAATACAACTATTAAAAGAGACCTTAGTGATATACAACAGAAGCGTTAGTAATCTTACCTTTGCAAGAACCATGCGCTTGTCATAAGCTACATAATGCCAAGCAAGACCTTTCTTTAGCATTGCCTCCTACAACAACACAAGAAGCTAGTCAAAACAAATTCTTTTAATCAAAATGAAAGTGTACTTATAGTTACCTGAACAAAAACTCCATTGCAGTATATATCTCCAACACACCTCCCATATTGATCTTCTCCATAAACCAACACCTTCAAGCTTTTCCATTGAACAATCTTAAGAAGCTCTTCTTGTGCCTCTTTCCCAAAAGGCATCTGGCTTTCTGGTGCATCTATTCCCCTATTTCCTTTCCCATCACCAAATATTTGATTCCCATTATAACAAAGATACTATGTCATACCTAATAGAGACAAGAGTTTGATCATTACCTTAGTCTAATTCTGAACTTGCGAGCAAGCACCTCTTCATTCTGGATGTTTAGCACTCTGTAACCAGAATCAATGATCTTCTGGTGAAGCGCATCCGCTTTGGTATAATCTTTCCTCTCTCTTGCCTTTGCTCTTTGAACCGCTGCAACATTCACTTCTCTTGGAACAGAAGATGACACCACCGGGTCTGAACTACTGACATAAACCGTGATGGTGTCTCCATCTGCCACAGCTTTTGGATCCACCTTATTTTCCATTACACAAACTTTATCAGCAACATTTTTTAAATCACAAAATAGTTTTCTTGAAATTCTCCTAACCGGAAGCGTTTGAAACTCAAAAAGAACTCCTTCAGGCAAAGATTCAGGAGGAGCTTCAGTAGAGAGCTCAACAAGAGTGTGAGGCAAAGGGAGTCCATAAAAAGACAAAAGTCCCTGCCATAATAAACAACACATTCACTTTAGATAGATCTCTTCCAACTTCAAAAAACCTATGTTCTTGCTAAACCCATTCATACCTCAACATCTGCTTTCTGATGCCTTTTCAAGATCTCAATAACAAGCCTAGAAGCATCCTCTGCCGTCTGTGGTGGAGGTTTTGCTTGCTTCCATGCCTCAAGTATTTTTCTATACCTTCAACAATGTTTGCCATATATAGACATAAGAAAAAGGAACAATACAGAACCAAAGTTAACATCTTTATACATAAAAAGGAGAGACATGTAAAAGGCTATTTACCAGTTTGCTTGAGCTTTTCTTGATGACACAACGTACCTCCCAAGTCCTTCAGGAACCTACAAGTTAAAGTCATATTCAATCAAATTGGCTTACAGTATCTGAACTAGCTAAAAGGGCTTTAAGAGCAGTGATAAAAAAGAAGGAAAGTAGAATACTTGGGAAGTGATCTCGAAGTTGAAGAGATCGTGAGCTAAAGCTGAAAGACCGACGGAGGAGACGCCGTGAGGACCGTGAGAGTCGTCGTCCGTGGTGGGTTTGCAGCATTTTCCGTAGAGGAATCCAAGAGCGTTACCCATCTTTCAGAAAATCTAATAAAGTTTCGATCTTTCCTGAAAGATAATCCTGCAGAAGGAGGAGGAAGAAGAAGAGGATCAAACTCTTTTGAGTTTTGAAGAAACTGTACTCTTCTTCACTTTATGTTTTTTGGACAAGTAAATATCAAAAAGTAACGTATTTTTAGTCTTGTACACTTATTAAAGTGAAGCCATTGGGAGGTCAACAAACACTATTGTCATATATATTCAGAGCAGTGCCGACGTTTATGGGGTAAAGTTTTAAGTAGTAAAAGGTAAAAAATAATACTCTTTATGTGTCTAAATGATTGTAAGTTTATATTTAAGAAAACATATTAACTATTGTTTATAAATGTATTATATTTTTTGTTTACCAATTTTCAGTAATTTTAAATCAATGGGGTTTAAGGAGCCATAATTAAGTTTACGAAGTTTGTAATTCATCATTATTAACTAATAAAACATACCTAGAGACATGAAATATTTTGAAACACTCTTTTTTTTTTTTGTAAATTAGCTTTTAGGAGAAGAGTGTAACACATAATGTTCAGAAACTAATAATAATACAAATTACTATAGAATAAAAATATATAAGAATCAAACTCACAAAAAAATATTAATTATAGGTTTGTCATGTCCACGATATTGTATCTTAAATGAATTCATTTACATACTTCTTCTAAAGATATTTAATAGCCAGCCACTTTGCTCATCAAAAACATTGATATAACAATCAGGCTATCTACTACCATTAGAAGACAAAGGGATTAAGCAATATGATGAAGGATTGACCATTCCGTTCGGTTCAAGATAAGGCTATTAGGCTAAAATTTATAAATTTTTTTTTCTAAATTCCACACTTAAACACAGAGATTACATTATTTGTAAAAAAAAATTGATAATTTGTTCTAACCATGGAGTGATGAAAGTGCCAACTCTGTCACAAGTCTATAATGTTTACATACATGTTTATAACAATGGAGATAAAACATAGTCGATCATTCAATTAGAATCACCCATATCTTAAACTTCAAACTTCATAATATATAGCCAAATGTTTCCTAAGTTCACCACTTCAGACAACCAAATTAAAGCACAATATAAAGTAGTAGTAAATCTAAGTTACGTTAAACTTCATTTTGATTTAAAAAAAGAAAGTAATCTAAGGAAGATTGAGGTAAAGCATCTCCTTAAATTCAAGTCTTCTTGTATCACTATAGAAAGTATGATGCTTATTAGGCCAATAAGTCAACCAAACGCAACCTTTCACCTCAAACTCCATCACTTTCCCACTAGCTCTTTTATCAACCTTCCACAAAACGTTTTGCCCATAACTATCTCCTGCAAACACCACTCCTCCTTGCTTCGTGAACGGCCTAAACGCGTTCGAGTACCGGTTCTTGAACCAAGCACGAGGGTTCATCATCGACACCTTCGATGGTTTAGAGGATGAAACTTCTCTTCCATCATCAAAGTCATGTAGAAACCAAGTGAGATTGGCGGTATAACCATGAACCCATTCGTCGAAAACCCATGGTTTCATGCTTTTTGTTTTGGTCTCGTTGGCTGAGACTTTGATTCCAAAGAATGTGTTTGGTGGATCTATTGTTGCTTCTATGCCTTTCCCTACTTCAAATGTTCTCAATGGATTTTCTGAGGATTTTTCTACGGATGCCATTAGGATGTTTGATTGAACCGTTGGTGTTAGTTGCAATGATATTCTTGATGGAAAATGTTTTTCTTCTAATCCCATGCCACGTTCTGAAAGAAGTGTCTCGTTCACAAGCCTAATTACGTCACACCTAATTATAGAAATATTAGTAATTTATTTATGTAGAAACAATAATATACCACAACTACCAAATTTTGTTTAAACTTGGCTTGAAAAAGTTATGTTTCTAATTTTCAATTGTTTATTCATAACTTTTACTTTATATGGAAAATATTTAAATTGAACACTCAAAACTCTAAATGATGACCCATATCGAATAAATGAGAATAGTGAATTCTCAATCATTCTTCAAAATTTATATCTTTTATGACAAATGTTTATTATACTTGGTTATTTGACATATCTCTAATTTTAAAAATTTGTTGAACAAAAATATTCAAATGTTAAAAAAAATAAGTAATAATTTATTTTTTTCATTTTTTTTTATTTTGTTTCTACTAATCCTTTATTAATCGTTTTTATTGTATCACCCCTTGTGATAATTAGCATTGACTCGATTCACTGTTTACATAAACAGTTTTGAGTTTAACCATTAGTTAAATACTAAGGTTGTGTATCAGGTTCTAATTAAGTTCATCATATGAGTTTAAATACGATACCTGACGTTGTCAATATTCACAGCAATATTAAACCACTTCTCATGAACGTTAATCCTGTGGTTGAATTGGATCACACCTTCAAGTTGATGATAGTTCAACGAGAAGAATAATCTCTCGTCGGTTAAAGCACTATTCACGCTCTCCGTTACCATTGCTATCACAGGACAATACATATGAACTTTCCACAAACCTTGAGTCGAAAAAGAATATGAAAACAAAGGAGAAGGTGACTTGATATGCTGACACGCTTTGATCTCGATGATCCAATTTGTTATCGCAAGATTGAGTGATCTCATCCATTGTTCTTCAAGGTTAGAGCCTAGCTGCACCATGAGCAACTTAGAACCCTGCCTTGACCTACAAGTAACGAGCTGATCTTTCACCGTTTTGAGACAAGTTGTTCGTAGGCCTGTGGGGGCCTCGTAGATGCATATGAGAAACACGAAAGTGAAGAACGCGAGGTTGAAAACGTCTTTGAGGTTTGAAGTGGTGGCTAGGCTTTGCATTTGGATTGAGCATGTAGTTCTTTTGACGTTATAGTTGAGAACTATGTCGACAAAACTCATCAATAGAGTAGAGATGACGTTTTCACTAGAGCCAATGATTCTGAGAGGTTTTGAGATAAAGAGAGATATAGGAATCTTGAAGTTTGCTACTATAGAGAAGGTGAATGTGTTTGGAGATTGAAAGCTACGAGAAAGAGAGAAATTTAAAGATGGGTGTGATGGATTTGGAGAGCAAATACACATGGACATTGAGTTTCTTTTCCATTGAGAAAAAGGAGGAAGGTTTTGAAGCCAAGCAAATGCATCAGGTGTGTCACAAGAAGCCATTGGAGCAATGATCTTGAAGATCTTGTTAAATGTGTGGTATAGATAATTAGAAGACTAGATTTATCATGCATATATAGATAGGAAAATCTTAATGAGTGCAAGGAAAGAAAAAGAATACAAAGATTCTCTCTTCTTTTTCAAAAGGTTAAGAATCTAATACAAAAGCATATGGGTTATTTTAGTTATAACAGAACATATAGAGTGTGTTAGAGCAACACGAATTGCCTCTTTTATAACATGTATAAATTTGATAATGATTAAGGGTTCTCAAAGTCATTGGATAACGTACAAGAAAGAAGGCTTAGATGCTAATTAGATGGTAGCTAGACCAATAAAAAGGATTATAAGTATTGCTGAGTTGATAAAGGTGAGGATTATGCTTTGTGCCTTGTGGGAATCAACTCGAATTTCTAGTATATATTCTTTGATTAGGCCGAAGAATATTGTTATTCGATACTCAATAATGTCTTATTCATCTTTATCTAGTTAGGTGCCAAATAAGAAATCCCAATAACTTGTATTAGCTAGTTACAACTTATAAAGTCTTTGAATTTTCAATTAGGGTTACTATTTTGCAATAATAATTTGCTATAACGCAATGTTTTAGAAAAAAAAATTGTATGTAAATGGTAAACATACTATAAAATTGATGAAATTAAAATAAATGTGATATATATGAATGGAATATAATAATAAATTCGTTTCAAACATTTTTTCCTCACAATTCTTGTAGAATGTTTTTTTTTTAATTTGTGAAAATAACCATTTCATTTTTAAATGGTATAATTTTCATTGAAATTCACATAATTTATTTTGTAAAATACCATAATCAAATTTCAGTATAGTTTGATGGATGAGTAATGTGGAAATAAAACATTTTTCTATAATGATTTCCTTTTAATATAGACTAGGTTGATGTTAAGTTTTATATTTTTATAAACTAATATATCATTTTCATTGTTTAAGTTATGTTCTATATATGATATCATATAATTAATTGAACTAGATTTTGACCCGCACAACCGTGCGGGTATTTTAATACGAAAAGATTTGAAATTATATCATAAAACTATAAATAAATAAGTATAATTTGATTCTGTATGCTATCCAATTTTATAATAATTTTTATGTGCCTTTTAATATTATTAATATAAAATTTATAAATTTGTATTTTTGTAACAGTTTTCAAAATAATATTATGTAACATTACTAATTTATATATTTTGTTATATTTCTAAATTTGAAATCTATGTAAAATTTAAATTAAGTTGGACCTACATAATTAGAGATGTCAAATGGACTTTTTGTCCATGGGCAGCCCAAGTCCAAACCCATTTGGACTAACCAAACAAAACCAACAAATAAATCTGTCCAATTGGGTTGAGCCCAATAAATACCAATTCCAATGGGCTAAAACCAGATGGACTCGGACTGTCCAATATAGCCCATATTATAAAAGCTCTAGGGTTTACGTTGAGATCAGCTTAGTCATCCTCCAGTGAATAGATGGATCCAGTTGTGCGTTTATCATCGTTGTTTAGCTTTATATAAGTTGTTTTTGGAATTGTGTGTTCAATGTATATGTTACTAGCTTATCTCTAAATCTCTTACTGCAGTTTTAACATGTTTAGGCTTTTGTTATCAGTGCAATTGTTCTTTCGGATTTGTGGTAGTAGTGTCTTATAGAGAGGCTGTAATGTCTTTCGGATTTGTGGTAGTAATGTCTTGGTTTTATTCATATGTTTTTTTTATAGGAGAGGCTGAGAAGATAAGAAGAAGATGACCATCAGAGATTCAGCTTTATTATGTTTCTTATGTATTTACTTATGCTTTGGATTATATAAACTTTGTTTGTAATGGTTTGAATTTTATGAAATTATCTATGCTTTGAATTTGTAAAACATATGAATTTTATTGTATGAAATTATCTATGTTTTGAATTTGTAAAACATGAATCTTAAGAGATTTGGGCTTTAGAAACAGAAAAATTATTTGGACATTGCGGAAGGCCCATTTGGAATGGTCCAATTTGGTCTGGACAATTTGGACTTGGTACAATTTGGGCTTAAAAATAATTATGTCCATTTGGTCTGTTGTGTCCATTTGGACATGCCCATTGGACATGGACAGCCCAATTGACATCTCTATACATAATACATAAACAAAATTTTGGGATATTGTTAAAAGTATTTTACATAATTTTTATTTTTTGTTTATAAATAAAAAATCAATTAAAACTTTAATTATATTTTATGATAATTAAAATTTTAATCAAATAGTTTTTGAAACTATATCTTGAAAAAGATTCTAAAAGATTTTTTAAAGATTTTGTTAGAATTTTCTTAAAACTATTTATTTGTATTTCAAACAAAAATTAAAGATATGAGAAGATATTATAATGTTATGTAAAATTTTATAAAACTCTAAAGATGGTCTAAACTAAAATATCACACATGAAGTGAATCATGACTTCTCTTTTAATATAATAGATATTTTTAAGATATATACATCAGAACTGAATCTGAATCAAATAAGATAATATTATTATTTTTGATTATTTGTTTTTTTAGTTTGGATTTAAATACCATATTAAATTGGTTAATATCTGTATTTTGGTACAAATATACAAATATATTTTGGATACATTATTTGTAGAATATTTTAAATTTTTCATATATCAAAACCGAATCTATACAAAATTCATACTCATGCAAAACAATGAATGAAGTGATTACAATAAGGGAAAATTGCATAACTACCATTTTTGTGATACCACAATTCAATTTTACCACAACTCAAGGGACATTTTCATAAATACACAATTCATTAATGACAAGATGACAATACTACTCTTCCCTAACTTACGTTCTATTTTGTTTCTCTCTGTAGATCCGCCGCCTCTCTCTCACAAAGGTGCGACGAAGAAGATAACAGAGAATCAATGTCGGTGACGCGTAAAATGAAGTGATGGTTTAGTAAAGATAATAAATGAAGTGATTATTTAGAAACAAAATAAATGAAGTGATTATTTAGAAACAAAATAAATGAATTGGATAAAATTAGTTAAATATAGAAATTTTTTTTAAAATAAATTACTTAGAAATAAGCAAGTATTGTTTTATTCTAGATTGTTTAATTTTGACAAAAATATATTTAAAAGCCCATAATACTTCCAATGTGTTCTTTTAACGTAACTTAATGGGCTGAACCAACATTATTGGCCCATAAACTTAAGGCCTTATCCCAAAAATATCTAACTCCCTTAACGCGGTTTCGCGCAACTTCAGTCTCTCTCCACTAAAATCAAAAACCTCCACACTCTCTCTCTCTCAACCCAAATCCGCCGCACACACACACACATTCACCGTAACCGACACCACCAATGTCTTCTCCACCGACTCTCCCCATCACCAACCAACAAGCCAATCAACCCCCGCAACCACCAATCAACACCCACGCCTTCCGCACATTCCTCTCCCGCCTCTCCTCCTCCCTCCGCGACTCCCTCTCCCAACGCCGCCCCTGGCTCGAACTCGTAGATCGAACCTCCTTCGCCAGACCCGACTCTCTAACCGACTCCATCTCCCGGATCCGCAAGAATCTCGCCTACTTCAAGGTTAACTACGCCGCGATCGTCTCCCTCGTCCTCGCCTTCTCGCTCCTCTCGCATCCCTTCTCGCTCCTCGTCCTCCTCTCCCTCCTCGGCGCGTGGATGTTTCTGTATCTGTTCAGATCTTCGGATCAGCCGCTGGTGGTGTTCGGGCGCGGGTTCTCGGATCGGGAGACGTTGCTGGGGCTCGTGGTGGCGACGGTTGTGGTTGTGTTTATGACGAGTGTTGGATCTTTGTTGACTTCGGCGTTGACTGTGGGTGTTGCGGTTGTTTGTTTGCACGGTGCGTTTAGGGTTCCTGATGATTTGTTTTTGGATGAGCAGGAGCCTGCTAATGCGGGACTGCTCTCTTTTATTGGTAACTCATCCGCTGCTGCTGCTGCTAGTTCTGCTGCTGCTTCCGTTGTCGCGGGACGTGTTTGAGAATTGGTGAATTCATTTTGAGTATAGATTCGGTATATCAAAGCTGTGGAAGATTTTAAGATCTAAAAGATGTGTTTGTTCAGTTTGTATTCTTGAGTTTGGTTACAGTTCCGAAACTTGGAGCTGATGTGAGATTACGTTTACTTTTAAATCAGGTTTATATACTCTTTTGAATTTAGGAGGTTTTTGACTGATGGAGTTAGATCTTAGTGATAATATATTAGATTTGATGATTTAGTGAGAGAATGTGAGCTTGTAGATTCGATAATTGCTTGCTGCATAACATTGTGTGTACTCGTACACATTGTTAGGTGATCGATTGTGTGTAGATTGTCTATTACTCTTATCATCGTCTGTGTCCTGGTGTAAATTTCACCCTCCTTAGAGTGTGGGCTGAGACTGTTGGTAGTAGCCACTCTGCACTGAATCTGAATCTCATAATAGTATATGGAATTAGAAATCTCAAACTCACACACTCCTTAGAATGTCATGCTCTAAATATGTTGACGGCTCTTGCTCTAATACTCACTTGCCATAATCGATCAACATCACTAAAGTTACTTGATTTTGATCGAATTACGAAGACAAAATTGAAAGCTCATTCCTGTGAAAGTTGACTGACTAGTGACTGTTGTATCACGAAGTTTAAAACGAAATCAAGCAGAAAAATTAAGTAGTAAATCGTAATTTTTTACGTCAATGATTTGGGTTTGTATATACGAGTCATATCATGTTAACATGTTTTGTGAAGTAGGTTGGGTAATGGGCCAATGGCATGTATGAACGGAACAAATTAGTAGTAAACCTGATTCAGACCAAATCTTGAAATACATAAAGCCTCACGTTTAGTTTGGGTTCAGTCTACAAATTATCGCTCACCAACAAACAAATTGAAAATCCGAATAGTTTTTGGTGACCTGAACTGTCATTTCTTTTTTTGGGGTCAAAGTTACTGAGTTGTTTCTTCCTTAGATAATCTTGTAGGTGACCTGCTTATAATTTTCCATTACACGAGATATGTTAATCGTGGAATGAGTTTTTGTCTTTTGAAATCTTTTCCCAAGATTCTAATTATTAGTGACTTGTGAGATAAAAACTTAGGTGTTGACCAAAAAATAGGTTTTTCTTAAACTTTTTTTTTTTTTGTAAAGAATATTATACCACTTGTAACAAGAGGTTAGACAATTCGAACCAACCCAAACAATATGAACCTAGTTAGGATTCGTACCCACTTTTGACTAATGAAATTATGATTTCAAGGAACCAGTTTTTTTCGCCATAAATATAATATAGTCAAGAATTTTCAGTGTTTATGCTATCATCATTTATCAAATAAAGTTTTCTTTCAGAGAGAAGTCAGCATGATAGTTTAAAGAAATATTTTCTTAACTTCTCAGATAATATTGTGAAAGATGATGTTTTGTATATTAACAAAAAAATGTTAATAACAAGTGATATAAATCGGAGAAACACCAAATCCAGACAAGTAAAGTGAGTTGACTTGGAATTTAATTGGAGATGCGGGGTCGATTTAACTTTGTTACTACATGTAATGTCATATTCAGATATTAGCGACTATGGATTAAGATATTAAGATAATCTTTAATCTATGGGGTGTTTATTTTAATTTTTATTTTTTAAAAATTTTGTCTGTCTAAAAAAAAAAATTAAAATAACGAATCAATCGCGAACTGTGACATGTCAGTGAGGCCCACGAACAGTGCAAACAACCCATCTAAAACAATGTTTATTTAGATATTTTAAACCGCAGTTTTATGAGTTTTTTTATGGGATCTACCTTAAACAGGTGCATATTGATAATGCTCTGAGGAAGACGATGACACTAACTAACTCCACCAAACACTATTACTAATCTCATGTTCACCAGTCAATGTCTCCAATATTCTTCTCATATACCTCTTTCTTCTAATATGATGTTTACTTTTTTCCATTTTTGTTACTTTGCGAATTGTTATAGTCCAAGATTCTACGTAAATACACACACGGCTATGACTATTCAGCTTCAAGTAGTATTTAAATCTTTCAAGACAAAAGCTATCACAAAAATAATAAAAATTATTGAAAATATGTTGAATTCGTTGTTTTTTCTTTGGCGTAGGATTTATTAATTCGAAATCTAGTCTTACAATTCATGAAACTACCCTGTGTGTTTTGCATATGTCAAAACATCGAAATAATCAAACAATTCTCTTAATTCATCATCCTTTTCTAGAAGATTACAATTTAGAACAGAGGATGGAACAAAGTTAAAATTGAGCAAGCTGGATTTAATTTGTTAAAGAAAATGAATTACTGTTAATATATAATATAGAGGTCGAAACAAATGGTGTATTAGGCAGTTAGACTAATCATCGTGTTTACCTCCAAACATTTTTTACCTTTTTAACATTAACAAACAATAATAATTTTTACGTAAGCTTCAAGATAATCGTCTGGTTTCAAACAAGAATTTTTTTTTTTTTTGCTTTATAATGGTAATTATATAAGTCTTTAATGAAATGATGTTACGGTTTAACCCATAATATAAGGCTTTGTATATTTTTTTTGATATATAGTTGAGTGTATCATGATATAAATTGAATGTTTATAAAATTTCCCAAACTTTAATCAACTTTTTGAATTTGCACAAACAATCTTTTTAATTTTTGATTTGATATGTAAATATTTACTCGGTTCAATCAGCTAGCAGTTGTATTACTGTACTGTATTTTGTAAAATATTTAAATTCGTTGAGAATGGAATTTGAAATTATAAACAGAAGGTATAGTTCTGGCTTGGAAATGCAATTGACTCGTCTTTGTTTAGGTATTATACTGATGAATGTAGGTGACCACATAAAGATAAAGTAATGATATTTCTAAATTCTATCTGGACACATTTTCCTTCTTTGATGTAACATAATATATTGGTATACATATGTAAGTTAATTGTATAAATGAATTTGAAATCGATTTTCAATTTCACAACGTATTAAGATCCCAAAACCAATAATGTTATATGAATTTCTCATCCAATCCTGAAACCGAAAGATCTAGACTGGATAACCAATCTATATCAAGATCCAATTAATGACAAAAGACTGCAGCAATTATTAATTAGCCAAAGTGACCCATAAGCTGAATCACTACCAGTTTTAGAAAGAACACATGCAAACCCCTACGTAGTAGGAGTTAATTAGATAAGGCCAATTTTGAAATTGTCCAGTTCCGCTGAATATATATACAAATTAATTCAATTACAATAGGACTATCTATTGGTGCATGCAAGTTAATTACATGAGCCAAATGAATTTTGATCTTTAGATAGAGTTCACAACATTGCGTACTTGTTGGCAACCTGTTGTACACATCTACATATATTTTGATCCGTTTAATGTCTCCAGAATATTTTTTTTTTTAATATAATTCAGTTGTACTATGTTTATGTCATTATGGTATATTACATCCAAAGTCAATAGAAAAAGCGTGTTAACCAAGAATTTAAGAGACGTAATCACCTTTTCGTTTTTTGTTTAACTCGGTCATCATTTTGTTCTTCTAGGCCCCAGTGGGTGCAACTACGCTTTCTAGTGTTGAATCAAGTTCTGGCCTCTTCAATATCAAAACCTAATTCTCCAACCGCATAAACAACATTTACAATTCAATTGATCTACCCAAATAATAATAATAAACTGGAGAAACTGTCCACCAAGTTTAAAAACGTATTGTCTTTGTCTCCCTATATAACTCGATACTGATTCCCATCACAACACATTCTCTCTTCTTCCATACACTTCATATCTAAACTCTCTGGCTGTAACAGAATCTTATCAATGGAGATCATCAAGAGCTTCCCCTGTTTCATCTCTTTTGCAGTCCTACTTCTCTTTAGTCCCATGGCAGAAGCCAACAAAGCACACCACCACGAGTTCATCGTAGGATCGCAGTTCAATTCTTGAAACGTTTTAAAAAACTGTTAATGAGATGTATGCTTATTACATTTATCAATATGCAGATACAAGCAACGAAAGTGAAGAGACTATGTGAAACACACAACAGCATTACGGTCAACGGGATGTTCCCCGGTCCACAACTTGTAATCAATAACGGTGACACTCTCATTGTCAAAGTCATTAACCGGGCTCGGTACAACGTAACAATCCACTGGTAAAAAAAATTCGAATAAACCAAATCACGTACCGTTATCAATGCATTGTTGGTTTACTAATACTGAAACGTGTGGTTACAGGCACGGTGTGAGACAAATGCGAACCGGTTGGGCTGACGGACCGGAATTTGTTACTCAATGTCCAATCAGACCGGGATCAAGCTATACGTACCGGTTTACAATTCAAGGACAAGAAGGTACACTTTGGTGGCATGCTCATAGTTCTTGGCTCAGAGCCACTGTCTACGGTTCACTCCTCGTCCTTCCTCCAGCTGGTTCGTCTTACCCATTCCCAACCCCTCACCTCAACGTTCCACTCCTTCTCGGTAATAATTTATAATCAATTTATTACAATTTGTTAATAATATTACTTGATTTTGACTCTCATATATAAATGATTTAAAATTTGGAAATTATATATGGTTAAGGTGAATGGTGGGACGCAAACCCGGTTGATGTGTTGAGAGAATCCATACGAACCGGAGCTGCTCCAAATATCTCTGACGCTTACACCATCAATGGTCAACCCGGGGATCTCTATAAATGCTCTTCTCAAGGTTTTACTCTAATTTTTTTTTTGGCTATTGCAAATTTTATTTTACTTTTTTTACGCCAAATTAATTTTAACTATGTGGATGATTAAAGAAAAGAAAAAAAATGGTTTAAGCAAATTCATACACTATTTTCTTTTGATTTCTTTCCCATTTTTCCAACTGTCATAAATGAATTTGGTGAATACATTTTCAAATAATATTTTGTAGGGAAAAAAACAAAAGCATCACCCCAAAGACCCAAATAAGTACTACTATTAAAGTAACATTTTATAATTTTTTTCATGCAGATACGACAATAGTACCCATAAATGTTGGTGAGACCATACTACTACGAGTAATAAACTCCGCACTAAACCAACCGCTATTTTTCACGGTGGCAAACCACAAGCTCACGGTGGTCGGAGCTGACGCGTCATACCTAAAACCCTTCACCACCAACGTCATTGTTCTCGGCCCCGGCCAAACAACCGACGTCCTCATAACCGGTGACCAACCACCAAACCGCTATTACATGGCCGCAAGAGCTTACCAAAGCGCACAAAACGCACCTTTTGGCAACACAACAACAACCGCAATCCTCCAATACAAATCCGCCCCTTGCTGCATCGGTGGAACCAATAAGGGTATTTCCGTCAAACCAATCATGCCTCTACTCCCTGCCTACAACGACACAAACACAGTCACACGTTTCAGCCAAAGCTTCAGATCACTAAGAAAAGCCGAGGTTCCGACAGAACTCGACGAGAATCTCTTTATAACCATCGGACTTGGTCTCAACAATTGTCCTAAAAATTTTAGGTCAAGAAGATGTCAAGGTCCTAACGGTACACGCTTCACTGCTTCAATGAACAATGTTTCTTTTGCTCTCCCTAGTAACTACTCTCTCCTTCAAGCTCACCACCATAGCATTCCCGGAGTCTTTACAACAGATTTTCCGGTGAAGCCACCGGTGAAATTTGATTACACTGGTAGCAATATAAGTCGGTCTTTGTATCAACCTGATAGAGGGACCAAGCTGTACAAGCTCAAGTATGGGTCTAGGGTTCAGATTGTTCTTCAGGATACTGGTATAGTAACTCCAGAGAACCATCCTATTCATCTGCATGGTTACGATTTCTACATTGTTGCCGAGGGTTTTGGTAACTTCAATCCCAAGAAAGATACCGTGAAATTCAATCTTGAAGATCCGCCTCTTAGAAACACCGTTGGTGTACCTGTTAATGGTTGGGCCGTCATTAGATTTGTTGCAGATAACCCTGGTAAATTAACATTTAATTTACAAAAAAAAAATCATTTAATTTAATTGATCAACGTGATTAATGAAACTAATTGTGTGTACTAATGATTGAAATCAGGGGTTTGGATAATGCATTGTCATCTAGATGCACATATATCTTGGGGATTAGCCATGGCTTTCTTGGTTGAGAACGGGAAAGGACTATTAGAGACAATGGAGGAGCCTCCGGCTGATTTGCCCGTATGCTAGGAGCTCAAGATTCAAAAACATAATAGTTTTCATTTTCATATTCAATAGTTTTGTTTTTGGTTTTTGGTTATAGAGATACTTGGTATACTCCTGAGTTGGACTACAATTGATCCCCTCAGGTTTATTTTTCTCGATTGTTGATGTATTCTTTTGACATTGTAGTACCATATCAGTGTTGAGTATCATGAAAGTTGAATTTTGTTTTAATTGACTCATTCATTCTATCTTTCGAAATCTTGTGCTTGACCAAGGAATGAACTTTTGTGCTCAATGGTTGTTGAGCTAAAATTCTGTTCGAAAAGCCATGGAAATTAAGTGATCATAAACAAAAGACTTTTTGGGCTAGCCTGAATCGAGATGAATGCTGAATCAAATCGAGGGTTCAACCACATGATGAATATTGAAATGTTCTAAAAGAAGAGAAAAACTTGGCTAGCCTGAATCGATTTTCTTTAAATTTGGCTTTTTGATCAGATGTCACATATTTTTGTTGATATTTACTTACTATTATTCTTTTACGTAACATTATATATATATTCTCAAATAAAACATTTTATATTTGAAACGTGAGATGAGATATAGATTAATATAATTGTGTTTATGATCTAATTGAATCAACTATATATATGTGTATCGATTGGAAAACGAAATTAACTTGAAAAGTTAACTGAAATAAAAGTAGAATAAGGAAAAAGTAGCATGAAATTCCAAGTTGTTAGTTGAGCTGAAAAGTTGGAGGGGGAAGTGAATTCCGACGCGGATGAATCATAACTTCGACATTACAAGAATATACCAACATGAACATAATAAGTCTAAGATTACATAAGCAATGAGGTGAAGAAAACAAGTATACATAAAATATATTACATATATGATATATCTGTTGAATATACAAAAGAAGCAAATTGGCTGTTTGAAAGCGCAAATGGGACATTATCTCCTACTTCTATACTATTAAATGATATTTTTTTTTTAATTCTCATTTGGTCTTCAAAATCGTTTTTCTTGCCAAATCTTGAAGATTTTTTTAAGCCTGTTGAAAAATAAAGAAAACAAGTTGGCAAACTGTTAAATTAACTATCAAAACAATAGGTGTGTATGGGATTTGGCTATTGCTCACTCACAATTTTTCTTTGACAATGGTAGTCTTCTGCATAAGAATGAGATGCAACTCATTTGGACAATTTCCCATTTTAATAATTTCTCAGCTACATTATTTTTGTTATTTTGTATATCACGTTGTAAGGTGATTCAACTCCTCATCGAAGTTGAGTTTTTCTTTGCATTGTTGTTATCTGAACACTAGTTGAAATTTCATTAAATTGAAAACTGTAAGTGCATTTTTTCTAATGATAGTATAATTCTAATTGGAGAATTATTTTCAACAAGTTTAGTTCCAATTTTTTTCGACCGAGTCTTTCATTCATCATACTACAAGTACGTCTTCACAAAAATAATATCAAAATGATTGGAATCTCCTTTTCATAATGCTAGAGGAGAATGCTTTTGCTTGGAACAGGCAGTTCTGTCAAATAGATGAACACATTTATTCAGTTTGTGCTGAATATACATTGCACAAGATGTATATTACGATAAATCCAATGATTCTTCAAGATTCATCTGACGTATCAAAGTTTCAAAAAAAAAGATTCATCTGACGCATTAATTTGAGTCTGACTGTCGGTACAACCCAAACTTCTCTGCTTTATGCCTTTATTTCAACACTAGATCATCATTACACCATCCCCACTCTCGGTCTAAACAAAGAAACATTTGATTTGTACCATCATGTAATTTATGAAGAACAGACAAGCAAAGAGGGAAAACTAGAATTTATTTATTTATTTTCTTAATACGGCTAGTGTGAGAGATTGATTTTCATGGATGTAAATACAGAGCGGTATAATTCGCCAGAATCTTCAAAAAATAAAATTTACATTTTCCACGTCATCTGATCTATGATTTATTGAATGATATGTTTATTTTGGGAAAATGAGTTAGTGAATATGCAAGTGTTACCTAACCCGGAAGCTTACAAGATGAGCAATCTTTACATCGAGGACTGTACAAGAAAACTACAAATTGTAAACATTTTCTTCTTATTTTATAAAATTTTGGATTCAGTAAGTAGTTCAAATTGCTCGCTTATTCGTATTGATCTAACAACTAGGAGTAGTTGGGAACATGTATAGTTGTATATGTCCAATTGCTGGAAGTGCATTAAGTAACCCTTTATTATTTTCCAAATTGTGTGTTTGTTATTATGCCCACCACTCAAATTCAAGAGTCCAATATATATTACATTTGATATGATATATACGTATGTGGATGGAAACACACCAAAGAAATATTTTGTAACTCGAAAATTTTCCTGACTTTAGGTTGGTTACTTTTAACAACTATTTAGTTGATTTCTATCTAACTCGAAAATATTCTGTTATTTTCTTTGATGAAAAGGAATTTGATTATGACTTTCTTAGTACTATCAAATCACTCAAGTTGATACCAAGATGAGAAAAGATCATTGTGATGGACCCAGGACATGCTACTTTCACCAACTTTGAATATTCAAAGTGCACTGGTTATCTTTTGGCCTGCAGGAAAAAAATTTACCGGTACAGTTAGAAGGTTCTATTGATATCCTAGATATACCAAGATATCTTATATTCGTACCAAAAATATGTAGAGCTAAACCAACTCGACCTATAGTGATCATGTTCTTGTGTTTAATATCCGGATAATTAAGTTTCCTCGGTTCTAATACTTCTAAATTGTAAGTGCAAAGATGACACCACAATATAGTACTGTAGAAGATAAACCAAGAGACAAAATAGATACAAGCAAACACTATGCTTTATTAGAAATCATCTTTAAACAATCTATTACAAGATCTGCTTATCAGCTTTACACAGCATATTAACACCCTAACAGCTGCTACTGAAAGATTCCTAATCTACCCAAACTTGTCTCTCCATCGTCAGTACCTCAGCAACTGCTTCGGCACGACCCAAGAACACCCTAAGAGATTTTCACCCTTCCTCTATAATAAAAGCCCCAAGTGTCTTATGGAATACACACGACTCCATAGCTCTTTTATAGTGATCTCCACGTTCCTGAAACCCTAGTCTCCAAGGCAACATGGATATATGGACAACTTCCATATTAATAAGTACACTTTCTTTTTCTTAGATTTGTACTTATTCCTCAAGGCATAAACTTGCTCCTCAAGTTTATCTTTTGCCTTTTCTTCACGGTATAAACTTGTTCCTCAAGTTTATCCCACGCCAGCTCAGCATCTTGCATCCACATGGTCTCTACCACTCCGCATGCCTCCTGGTTCACTCTCTGACACACGCTGCATCAGCAACTACTTCAACGAGTACGTCAAGACATAAACCTTAGTTTATCCTTCTCCATCTCAGCATATCTTGCATCCACATGGTATCCCACCACTCCGCATACCTTATGTAGTAACGACTAATGCCTCCAGCATCAGTGATTTCGTCGCCTAGTTAGTCACGGAAGACCATTGATATCTACAAGCTCCACTTGCATCTTCATAAATTTCATTTGCAAGCATTCTTTTTGCTACTTGTGAGAAGTAGGCTTAGATGAGATGCTGATATTGGTAAAAAAAATTACAAAATTACTTTTAAATCTGGTATTAAAATTTGTAATAACGTTATGGAATTTCTTACATGCATATGCGCATTCCTTGTGATGATGACAAGTAGTCAAGTACTAAGTATTAATGAACTTGGTTGATAACCAAGTAAAAACAAAATTCAAATAACAACCGGGTCGGTCCTTTATATACAATGAGAGATAATTTCTTTCTTCTGTAAAAAAAAAAAATACAAACTCCAAACAAATACCAAGTGGACAACCGACGAACCCACACAAGCCAACCTCTCTATTTCTTCATCCGGCTATTGTCCACATACTTGCATTATTTATATTTTCTAAACCCTCCTTCTTATCCCTATTTATATATTGAAATATCTCATTACAACATCTCATAGAACCTCACGAAACAAACCATTCTCTCTTTTTTCTTTTTAAGAGAGACAGAAAATACAAAAAAATGCCAACGTCGGTACAGTTTCATCAAAGATCTTCCTCCGCTACAGAAACAGCCAACAACCACCACAAACAACTTCAGAAAGTGAGCCTCACGAGAGGCATGCCTGATGTACCTGAGCACGTGGAGATTCTCCACACGCACGTGGTTGGTCCTTCTCAGTGCTTCTCCGTCGTGGTGCAAGACGTGGATGCTACTGTTTCCGCCGTATGGTCTATCCTCAGCCGCTTTGAATACCCTCAAGCGTACAAACACTTCCTTAGGAGCTGTCACGTGGCTGTTGGAGACGGCCGAGAGGTTGGGTCCGTGAGAGAGGTCCGTGTTGTCTCTGGTCTCCCCGCTGCGTTCAGCTTAGAGAGGCTAGAGATAATGGACGATGATCGCCATGTCATCAGTTTCAGAGTTGTTGGTGGGGTTCACAGGCTTCAGAACTACAGGTCGGTGACGACGGTGCACGAGTGTTCATCGTCGGAGGATGGTAAAAAGAGGGCACGTGTCGTGGAGTCATACGTCGTTGACGTACCGGAAGGTAACGATAAGGAAGAGACTTGCAGCTTTGCAGATACTATTGTACGTTGCAACTTGCAATCGTTGGCTAAACTCGCAGAGAAATTATCGTAATTACATTTGTTTTTATTTATTTTATTTTCTATTTTCTTTATTTCAATTTTTCTTTTTAGATTTCTAGAGGTGGGTTTGAGTTCTAGATTATTTAACTTACTATAGTTGGGGAGTTTTCGAAACTACAAAATAGTGGTTTTGGTTTTTCGAAGTTATGGTTTAGGGTTTGTTAAATGTTCGTATACTTTAGTTTACCCTTAATGCCATTTCTTCTTGTTGAACTCTTTTGTATAGTCTCTTGTATCTTTATAATAAACAAAACACTGATTGTTTAGGTTTTTTTTTTTAATTGATTGTTTAGTTTTTTTTCTTAATAATTTTCTTGCCCAGTTACTTTAAATATTATTCTTTCTTAATAATCTAAAATGTAGCGATTCAGCTTATGAGTATTGTTTCGATATTTCCGAGATTGTGATCTCTAGTTTGAGTCTGATAATTTCAACATACGCAATAATGTATCACCAACAATTTGATTAAGATTATCACTGGCATATTTACTAATATACATATATACTATATAAAGAGATCTCAAATTTGTGTGGGCAATCAGAAAATACATGTGCTGCTTCATATGATCCGTTTCGTTTATCTTAAGAGAGAAATTAAGTATAACTATGTAATGTAAGTATGTAACCATACAGTTTGCATTCTCTTAAAATCTACAAACAATATCTATTTTTATATATAGTTTCTTCGTTTATGTAATTAAAGTACTGGTCTTCAGTTATATATCATCAGAGCGTTCTGTCCTGGAGGGAGTGAACGATTCATGATAAACTCGAACCAGTGTGTAATAATGCTGAATTTTTCTGTATATATTACAAAAGTTTGGCTATCGTATATATATAGACTAGTACTCCAAAATAAATGGCGATAATTAATATTATTTTCTCCTAATTTTATAACTTAAAAATTTCAAAAAATTTGTCATTTATCAACAAACTTTCCATAAATACATAAGGTTTTGTTTTTATCCACCAAAACTAATCCTACTTTTATTCATCAAAGTGATAAAAATTTCTCGATCTTTTTCTTTTTGGAATGCGTGAACCGTTACAATATTTCGAATGCCAAAATTATTACACTCTTCTGGGGTTTTCCTTGTCCTATATACTATTTCATGGAATAAAGCGTAAGAAACATAAAAAATACCAGTTAAAAGAGAAAAAAACCTATAATATAATCTCCTTGTTTGACACAAAGAATCCAATGAACATTTCAAAGTTTCCAAAAGCAATCTGAGAAGTTACTTTGTAATTAACTAGTACGTTTCTGAGACTTGTGAAACCAAATTCAACATTGAATACCTATATAGAAAGTATATGATCGTACGTAAAACTCAAGTTGGGTGTAACAAAATCCAACTTGTTATAGAAAAAAACAAAGCCATGCAAGTTGCAAGGAAAAAATCAATAAATGTTGCTACTATCTTTAACACCTTTTAATTGTATTTCATAAATAAATTAATGATAAAATAAGAAACAAATTGATTATTAATGTATATTATCATAATGAGTACGAAATATAAGTAAAAATTGTCGTGGAAGGAAAGAATTACAAGTTGAGGTGCAAGTTGGCAAGGAGGCCTATTAATGTTTTTCCTCTTTTGGTTGTTTGTAAATGACATTCAAAATCAAACCCACCTACCTCTCTTGTTTTGTTCGTGACTTCCATATTTTGTATCATTATTTACTTATAACTTTCACAGTTTCATAAACCTACAAGGTTTCATTATCTTATTATTTAACTTTTTTTTTTTTTTTTGAACACAAACTTACTTTCATTGATTCACCTTGAAGAACTACAATAACATGAGGGAATTAGACATCCTCTTGGAAAACAAACATAAGCTACAATAGCAAATAAGATTAAACAGGATAATTCTTCATCGGAAGATGACAGCGAAATCAAGATAAGGCTTGAATGCGTCGAGGAAGCATGTACGACAAGGTCGGACCGCTGAGATTTAGTCACCTTATGTTGTGACGTTGAAAACAAACTCTCACCAACAAGAAGAACCAAAGTAGTCTTGATTGCACTTTCTGGTCCCGTATAGGGTGGCAAACCGGTGAGTAAGTTGAAACAAACGCTCGATAGTAAACCCGAGGAATCATCTCTTTTCACAGAAAAGAGGCATGGTAATAAAATTCTCTCCTTTGTAGAAGAGAATGATGGTACCGATAACAAAGTCGATGAACCCACCGAACAATTCATCCTATACGAATGATATAACAATACACGCATAATATAGATTCCAAGGAATCCCTCAGAAATCGTTAAACTAGTCAAAGTAATCAAACCCATGGTTTGTTGGCTCTCGTTGTGACAAGCACTGGGTATTGATTGACTAAGCAACAAGTTTCTTTCTTCATTAGTTGTAATAGGCCAGGCCCACAAACAATTGAATTTCGGCCCATTATCAACCAGCCTGGCTGGAGAAACCCTAGATCCGGGATGGGAGGCGGAGCTGGAACGGAGGACATCGGTGGCGCAAGATGGAGGAGAGGAGGCCTTGGTGAACGGAATGTTGGGGGTTGAGCAGCCGCCTAGAAGAGAAACGGAACCCCGTTTATATCTCGAAGATGATGCACTGCGGCGGCCTAAGGTGCTCTTTATGGCTGAGGTTTGAGCTTTATCCGAGCGTAGCTCAGATACGGACAATCCCACGGAGGTCCTCTCAGATCTGGAGCGCATGTGAAGGACGAACTCAGAGTAGGGAAGGAGGTGAAGAGAGACGCCACATAGAGAGAGCCATCCCTTTTGTGGGTCGTGGTGGGAAAAGATGGTCCTTGTACAGATTTTCCGGGAGACCCCGATGACGGATGCAGTTCCGATGGTCTTAAAAACCTGAGCAGAGACCACGAAGGTCTTCTCCAGTTTCGAAAACACCAGATCCATAGAAACTGATTGAGTAAGTGCGAAGCGGAAAACAAGACGAGAGCTTTGACTTGGAACGAGAGAAACCATAAGGAAAATGTAACAGATCTCCCGACGCCGGCGGCCAGAGGCCTTACCGGCGTCAAGAAGCAGTGGCGGCGGTGTTGTCTCGATTCTTGAACCAGAGAGAAAACTAGGGCGAACTTTTTTTTGGACTTTTTTTAATTAAAAATGACTTTTAATATCTTATTATTTAACTTAATACAATAAATTTATGTACATATATATTCCGTGTATATATAATAAGAATGTAAATTGTAAAACATATACAAAGATGCATAAAAGATTGTGATAACTTAGATAGCTGTGATCTCAAATATGAAATCCATTCTTTTAAAAAGCTACGTACATGCATAAAAGTGGTGATGACGTACATAGCTGTCATCTCTAATATAAACCGATTATTTTAAAAAAGCAACGTGTAGATAGTTCTAGCTAACTCTCTAAAATAATAACCAAACTTTAAATCAAAATGTAACTATATCTTTAGTCATATCCGATTTAGCTAAATATGAGTGTCTGAAAAAGGCAACCCAAATTTAATAAACCTAGCCACCGCTTAATTTCACTGTGGATATACATTTTTAACGTATGTTTTACGCTTCGAATGCAATGCGACTTAGGTTTAAAAGCATCCCGGTGCGAGACAGCAAGAGTGATGTAACGTAGAAAAAAAACAAAGTTGTCTTCTAATTCAAGAACCCCAACGAGTCAATACCCTTTTGTCTCTTACAACCACAGCAACTCAATAAAAATTCAATGACTACATTTTACAATTTATCGACCAAAAACAAGAAAGTATCGTTGTTCCAAGGCAGAACATGTGTTTCTTGCTTCTCAAGGATAGAAAAGTTTAGCAAAGAGAAGCTCATTCCAAGTATCTTGAAGGCCAGGCAAGCACCAGTGCACACAATCCGCATAGCTCGTCGGATTCGCTATCTGCTCCGACGTAAGTGGACTCCACTGCTTCTTGTATATCGAAGTGTGCGCATCTTTCCTATAGTTCGACATCTGCGTTATGTTCAGGAACGTTATCGGTGTTTTCGATCTCCCAAACACATCTCCAATCACTTTCATTATGCTTTTCCGACAGTCTGATCCCCAGTAGTTTGGATCTTCTATGAGCGTTGTCTGATTATAGCAGTTTTGTCCCGGTTCAGCTCCCCAATCTATGCCCCTGAAGTGATCATAAAACCAAAACAAAAGAAAATCAACGAAAAAACCTAACCAATTGGTTTCTTGTTACGAAAGAAACAATAATTTTGATAATTTAGTAAATATAATTAAGCAGTTCGTTTAGTTTATAGCTAAACATATTGTAACAAAGATGGAATATCAGTATTTGGTTTCTATTAAATGCGCTAATTATCTCTATAAAAATCGTCAAAGTTACTAACTTGGCATGAGTTGGTGACATGCTTGTGAAGAAAACCCTAGTTTTCTTGCGATCCATATTGTTCTTCACCCATCTCAGCATACTCTTCATCCCCATCCTATACGCATCTTCAGTTGAAACCTCTGTGATAACCTTCTCTTTATCTTCAAATGATCCTTGCCTATATATATATATACACAAACCAACATCAGAAGCCATTCAAAGAGGATCATATAGTAATATGAGTTTGTTGTGATAATAAAAATGGTTACAATATTTTCATCTTCAAGCCAGTCATCCACCATAGATAAGTATTGAAAACAACTATATCAACGCCTTTCCAATGACGACCATGTTTGTTGATTGACCCTTTCCTCACAACCCTATCTGATACTCTATGAACAATTGCATCATCTGAGTTCGATTCTAGAAGAAACGGTGCCCAGTAGAACTCTATCGTCGCGTTATACTCCTGCAGAAAGAGAGAATAAACCCTAAACTAGGTCAAAAAAATATTTCCACATATAGAATAAACCCTAGTTTAAGTAGTTGGATGTACCTTGGCAGTGAAGACAGTGAGTGAACCAGAAGTTTTAATGGATCTTTGATCATTAGGGATAACACGATGAAGAAGACAGATCATTGATACAAACATTCCACGGTTTAACGAGTCTCCTACGTACATCATCCTCTTCCCTCTCAATGTTTCCAACATTAGCGTGGCGTTGAACCTACGAAACAGAGGAAACAGAGGTCAAAACAGAGAAAACAGAGGAAACAGAAGTGATAGAGAGGGAAAGAGCTTACGAGGGAAGGTCGCAGTGATTAGGTTGCCACCGCCAGAACTGGTAATCTTTGTCGGGACGGCCGCGTTCTTGACACGTAAGCTGAGGTTGAATGTAAGGACACTCCCATTCCTCGTACTGTGGTCGGGAAACTTCATCTCTCACCCATTTCCCACTGAATACGTCGCAGTTTTCCTCTGTTTTGCCTATGGCAAACGCAAGCTTCTCTGGTTTCTTGTTACTAGGTTTTGGAGAAGGTTGGAGGTTAAAAGTGGGCTCAAGCTGGCCAAAGATGCACATGAAGTCTTCACCATAGAGAACACAGACGAAGAGGATGAAGGCTAAGAGTGTGAAGAGGTAAGGAGAGAGACGAGTTTTTCTTGGAAGGGAAGAAGAAGTGAATGACATTGGTGATGAAGGTTTCATGTTTTAGGTTTGAGAAAGAGTGAGAAGAATCAAGTTTCTTAAATGTGATAATTAATATTATGAAAGGAGAAGATAAAGAATTAAGACATGAAAACTTTGGGTTCTTGATGATCTCATTCTACTCAACCTGCAGATAAAATGTGGAAGGAGGATGCCAAAAGAACTTATTGCTTCAAGAAATACTAAAGATCATGAGTATTGTACAAGGATTAGGTTGTTTATAATATGGTTATGATTATATTTGGTGATGAAAACTTGTGAACTAGCAAATAAATTAATAATATTTAGGTTTATGAGTAGGTAAATGTTGACGCAACAGAATGGTTGCATCCTAACTAATGATTTGTTTTCATAAGATATAGTTCATTTGTCTGCTAATGACAAATTAACAAGTTTATAAATATTAATTCATACGTTAGTGTTGTAATTTTATGTTTGTATCCTCTAACAAGAAAAAATGTGTCGGTTTGTTATTTAGTATTTGGGTTCCTATAAACAAAACTAGCAATAATATGAGATGATGATTGATAGAGGTGTAACATCACTTGGCTTCGAAGCTAAGTGACCTTGAGGTGTTTGTATAGATATGATGGACTAGTAAAGATGACATATCATTGTCTTCACTTTTAGTCTTATGTTACTTAGAAAACAATATAAAGAGAGTCTAACATGAAATGAAGAGTGGAGTTAGTTGAGAATTTGTTGGGATTTCAAGCTCAAGTAGTTGGCTCTCAATGTTCTTCTTTGTACACACTCTTAACCTAATGAACCACATTAGATGGCAAAGATGTTATGCCAACTGAACCGGTCCAGTCCTACAGAACCGACTTTAGAAAGACTAGTCCAAAACATGGTAACCAAAGCTGACCAACCTACATCAGCCTTCCAAATCTAAACGCCAAAAATGACATGTTTGACCGGTTCGGCTCAGCTAAACCAGTTATATCTCCTCCCTAATCATCCAATACCCCAAACAAAACAAAAAACAATTTGGGTCCATTGTGACTTCTCTGCTTGTAAGTGACAGTCTATCAGAATGTCAGAAGGCAAAAGGAGATTCTACACACAAGCTTTTATGTGTATTATTATGATCATGTTTAACGAAAACCCTCAGCTTAAGGCACATCTACTCAGAGCAGTATTGGAATGACAATTTAATGTGATGCTAGTGAAAAGGTATCTGAAGTAGATGCAACTATCTACTCAAAATCACATTACTTAAAACTGCAGGCAAAAAAAACTAGGAGATGTTTTCCATTTCAGCCACACTTTCATAAGCAAAGAACATCGCCCACCATGAGTTTGACATTGGAGCGCGATAACTTGTTGTAGACTTGGAACATCTCCAAGACACGTTTAGAAACTTCATTGTTCTTTAGCTCTGTAAGAGTATTCTCTTCAACATAGATCCTCATCTCCTCCAAACATGGCAAATAGTCCAAGAAATGCTTCACCATTGCCATCCCTTTCTCTGTTCCTTGAAACCCGTGAATCTTCATCACTTTTAGTGGACAGAGTTTGAGTGAAAGTCCTTCCTCCTCCCGATGAATAAAGCCACAAAAACACCCACACATATATCTCACATTGCGCATGGGACCCTAATTAAAAAGGCACCAATGAGACACCCACACTATTAAGAGACTCAAAAAGTTATGAACTCTATTTTTGTTTACCTCAATGACTAGAGTTTCTAAACGTGGACAGTTCTTTATAAGAGGTGGTATTTCTTGCCATCCGCAACTCTTGTCACTCTTAATAGCTAACGATTTAACGTTTTTGAACGATTGAGAGCACGCATAAAGCACCTGAACAAAAAAAAAGTAAGACCAGCATTTTTGGAATCACATGTTTTCAAAAACGTACATTCCCAAGCCAGAGACTGACCTCGGGAGTAGCAGGAAACAAGACGAGGTTCAGAACATTTCGTATGCCGTGAAAGAGGTTCTGCACATTAGTATGCCCAAAAGCAACTCGGTCGTCGTCTTCAAAAACTTCAAAACCTGGTTCCTCGACATGGCGACATAAGTCGAGGAAGATGTGAGCATCAACCAAGTTTCCCATATCAACTACTCGAAACTCCGTTCCAACAGAACCAGTTAAGTTAAAGCGAAGGAGACTTGGTGTATCAAACGACACGGTGTTTATAAAACAGTCTAACTTTATTGTTAGGATCTTGAGCCTTGCACTTGACACTGTCACATCCTTATCTTTCCAACTTACATTAACCAGAAGCAGTTCCTCAAGGGAAGGCAGAGCATGAAGCAGAAGAGTCTCAAACTCTGTAGGACAAACCCAAACTGAGTCAAGAACTAGAGTTTTCAGCAACGGTAAGGAAACGCCACCAGCAACAATATCAATCCAACGGTTTAGTTTCAGCTTAACCAGTGTGCTGCACTCTAAGCATTTTGGAGAGAGATCAATAAGGATTGTTAGGTCAAGATCTGAGACACCACGAGCTAAGGCATTGCTAATCCAACCATCCACACGTTCTCTATCAGACACAGTAACACACTTGAGGGAGAGTTTGTTTAGTGGGGGACCCTGCAACGTCAAAACTCTATCCACAAAGTCTGTGAAGCTCTTTTTAATTTCTTGCCTGTAAAGTTTACCCACTTGGGGATGGAGGAAGACAGAGTCGTCTATGGTGAGAGAAGGGACGAATGCAAGAAGGTTGCGCCACCTCTTGGCGAGAATTGATGTCAAAGCAGCTTCCTTTGTGGTGAGGAAAGAGAGTATGTGACAAAGAACCTCGTCTGGTAGATTGCTAACACGATCCATCTTCTCTGCAAGAAAAGACAAAAGGTATGTTAATAACTAAGTAGACAAAGATGAAAGCCTTTTTATTTATTTTTTAGATGACCAAACAGTACCACTTGAAAACAGTGTAAAGCATGAAAAATGTAACAGAGGGAACCAAAGGAAGAAACTTTGAGATAAAAAAAAAAAAAGCTTTACACTAAATGCTATGAATAAATGAAATCAGACATAAAGTTTGCTACTTTATATCAGAAACTTTGAAGATCAGTAATTCTGAAACTTAAAACTTTATTAGTGACAAAGGGAAGCTCTGAATCAAATGCAAAATTTCAAGAGATGATATAACATTTTCAGCCTGAAACCCTCGGAAGAGAATAGAATCAGTCAGTAGTAAAAGATGAAGGCACTAAATGCTTACTTAGTTCAACACCCAAGTTTTGGGAATTTTCAGTGCAGTGAGAAGAAGAGCAGATGAGATCTAAAAAGTGTTTAATCGCTGGGTTGAAGCGGAGATATGAAGAAAAAGCAAAACAAGAAAACTTACAGAGGTTTTGATGCTTGAAGGCAGGCAAGGCTCGAGTGTGAATAAAATATGATTATATCGATGGTTTATCTTACAATGTTAACCGGTTTAAAACGATGGTTATCATACCAAAAAAGGGTTTCTTGAATGGCTTTAATTTATTGTCCTCAGTTGGTTTTGGTTTGGACCGGTTTTCAACAAATAACGTAGGAAAGGTGATCATTTGATCAGTTAGCAAATCAAAGAAAAAAAAAAAAGAAACTCATTTGATTCAGTTAACAAATGAACAAGATTCTTCTGTTTCTTTAAGAGATCAATGCAACAACTTCGAAGATTTGTGTCAATGAGGAGTCGGTGACTGCTAGTTGACCCGTGAATAGGAAGCTTGTTGGCCATGACTTGAACCACTGAATCTCTGAAATAGTGAACCAAAACAGCTCTGCAACAATGAAGAAAAAACAGTAAGGAAACCTATTGCATGTAATTCTTTAGATTTTAAATACATGAACAAAGCCGAACAGTACCTGTATTCTGTCAGGTACAGTGACCCAGAAATCAGAATTTGGGATTACCTGTATAAAATAAGGTGTGCTCATTTCAGTTGTGATGATAGAATCAAGTAGTATATGAGATTAACCGTAACATATGTAAAAGGAAGTTAGTAAAAACATACTTCTATTCCACGAATTCCAAGGGAGAAATACCGATACAATCCACCACCCAGCAGATAAGCTCCAAATAAACATAAGATACTGAAAAGAAGACCAGAACAATTTCATCAAACTCCTAAGATACCTAAACATATTCCAACGCTAGAAAAAAAATGATGTGCTTACATGATTAGTAAGGTACTAAACAAGCCCCATCCACTACCATGGCCGGATATAGCTACTGCACAACCGGAAGGATGTCGCATCTCAGTAGCCTGCCAGTGAAATAAGATCCCCAATTTAAGTTGCGTGAATGTAAGAAACAAGATAATATCTTCAGTTTCATAATTAAACAGCTCTAGCGTGAAAAAAGTCAAGTCAACGAACTTGCCGAAATAGCCTGAGTCCATACTTCTCACACATAAAGAATTAAAGATATAGAGATCCTTGTAAAACTCAAGATTACAGGGAATACAAGAATGCAACATTGGGTTTTTCAAGAACATGTTCTAAGGAGAGTAAAGTTATTACATTAGTTTCCTGCTCTCGATGAAGTAATTTCTAATGAGATAGGTTATAAGCTTTAGGAAAAAAGAGTAAATAGATGAGTCACAGGACACTCACATAATCACAGTCACCAGATTTCGTTAGAGTGAGTGGTCCCTGAAAAATAAAAAGGGTGTATGAGGTAAGTAGTGGACTCGATGACTATATTAACTCAAGGAAAAGGTCTGATCATACAATCTCTTACATCGACTTTATTTTTCTGGCAGATAACAGAAACTGAAAGCGAGCAATTTAGGTTACTACTTGCACCTAACATCTTGACAATGACGCCTTTGCCAGGATCTTCTTTATCTACAGTAGTCGAAACAAAAGTCTCTGAGACAGTATTGTTGCATGAAAAAGGTTGGGCGAAAAAAACAATAAAAAGCTTCGTCTTAACTTAAATATGTTGACACAAACATATATTAAATCTTACCAATAATATCAACTTTTGAGCTTGAGGGATGCCCAAGGGAACTGCATACATCATATCCTACAAAATGATAAAGAGTAAAAAATCAAAAGAATCGCAATATCTGCACCTTATCCTTTTTTTTCTACTCAGAGCTTCATAAGATATACATTAGAATCACACATGATGTAGTTTTTTTACCTCTTACATTTTCTGACAAGAGTGCACTACACGATGTTCCGCAGTGCGATGGACCTCCGCAATCCTAAATGAATAAAAGGAAAGTCATAGAAACTGATTGAGATTTTCAAAGTTTTAGAAATAAAAACTAATCTTTCTCTGTTTTTATTTTTTTCTCGATTGATCAAAACAGAGGGAAGTGACAAAAAAAACTTACTTGGCAACCAACACACCGAGGAGGGTCGTGATTGAATATAAGCAAGTCACAAAGCTGCTCCACAAGAAAGGTTTACAAAAACATAAGTAACAATCACTGGTCAAGTGTAAAACACAAAGGGGCAGTAGAGAGCAACAGGAGATCTCTAAACCCCGCCATCTAAAGTCATAGACTTTCCTAAACAAAATCGTGTGTCTTTCTTCTTTAACAGTAAGTATCATGAATGATGTAGATAAATATTTAGGATATTTCTAAATATTTATTATTTATTTAATTAGTTATTTTGATAATTATCTTATGCCTAGAGTTGTATTGATTATTAATAAAAGGAGTTTTCTAAAGAGTTTTCAATAAACCACTGAGAAGAGTATAATACTCAAACCTAAGAGCTTTTAGTTAAGCACTGTGCAGAATATTCACAAACCCTAGTTTTCGTGTATTCTTAAAATCAACGGATCTAGTTCTATTCCTAGAAGCTTCCGCTACATCAATGCACCTAATCTAAGCATTTCCCTTGTAGTAGTAACCAGCTAGAATACACATATAATGAAAACAGAAACAAAAGTGTTAAACCTGATGAAGAAGACAACCTGAAACCATAGCACGGTACTGTTCGCTTCCACTCTATAAAACCTGACATCATCCAAATTACACTTGCCTTTATTAGAAGCAAGAGAAAGTACAAGACTTGACGTTAACTGAAACTGAAAATAAGCTTTTACTAGAAAAGAGAAAGTACCCACCCATCTTCGCTGAGAGCACCGTGAGGGAAATTCTTAACGGAAGATGCTAAATTGAAATCGAAGACCTTGTTGCGTCGTTTGAATCTGAACTCGCATTGGGAGTTAACTCTGAAGGGGGTAATAAGGACGAGAGTGATGATGACAAGGAATCTCAGGATCCAGAGCGTCCCTGTAACCATCTCCGTGTGGATCTAAACGGAGGAGGAGAAGAAGATATTAGTGCTCGTCACGGTGTCACTCTTCTTCCATTTACATCCGTCTGATTCAATCAACCGAGATTTCACATTGTTACTCCCTCAACTATGTTTACTCTTACGAATAAGCTACGTGACTTTTTGTATCTTTCAATTGGGGCCTCACCCTAATTAACTGGTCCATAATTAGGAGAGTGTCTCACTAAAATTCTCAAATTATTATAAAAAATTAAAAATATTAGTAAACTAATACTCCATTTGTTTCAATATAAGCGTCGTTTTAAAATTATGCACACGGATTATATAAACAATTAATTTTACATATTTTTTATATAAAAACACAATTACATGTACAACTAACCATATTTTAATCAATAGAAAAACAAATTACATACTTATAAGAATAATAAATTTTGCATTGAAAACCGAAAACGGCACTTAGTTTGTAAGGAAAAAAATTCTCTACAACGACAATTAATATAAAACGGAGGAAATAGTACTTAATTTGGTTTGGATAATTTTTAATAATCAATATGAACATCAAATTATTTAAAAATTACAAAACCTTGTTTACAAACATTGTTTAGACTACAAAAATATCATTTTTTTTTGCTAGTCTGAACAATGTTTTGTGATTTTTAAATAATTTGATGTTCATATTGATTATTAAATTTATCCAAACCAAACAACACAAAGCTAAATAAAAAATTTTCACATTTTTTCCTATATGTTTACCAAAATTAATCGACTTTCCAAAACCCATCTAAAATTACAAATTTTCTAAAGAGAAAATGATTAGAATAGACCTAAATTTTTTTTTATCATAAATATAGACTTTAACAATTAAAGTGATCAAAATAACAATTAAATGTTTTATTAAATATACATTTATACCCTTGGGTTAACTAATCTTAGATTTTTTTTTGTTTAGAGTTGAGGAGTGAAGTTTTGGGAATAAGGTTTCGAATTAAAAAATTAAGAAAACTTAAAAAATTTAAAATAAAAAGTGTTATTTTGGTCATTTTAATTTTTGAGATCTAGTTTGTGATAAAAACTTAAATGAGAGCTCTTTTAGAGAATTACCCTTTTCTAAATCATATTTGAATTACTAAAAATATAAACGAAACCGAAAAATATATGAACTATTGATGACCAAACAAAAAAAAATCATTATGGGCCGTCAATGACGGTTTGTTTACATTTCCCTAATCCCCCAACGACGCCGTTTAAACTCCCATATTTAATGTAAAAGTCCGTTTAATTTCTTTCCTCGTCGCCAAAAGAATCTGATTACTAACTCCGTCGCTTAAAACCCTAAATCCCTTCAACCTCACAGCTTCCGTCGCCATCTCTCAACCTCCCAACCATGGCGACACTGAGTCTAGAGTGCCGCATGTACGAAGCCAAGTACCCGGAAGTGGACATGGCGGTGATGATCCAGGTCAAATCCATCGCCGACATGGGAGCCTACGTGTCGCTCCTCGAGTACAACAACACGGAAGGCATGATCCTCTTCTCGGAGCTCTCCCGCCGTCGGATTCGAAGCGTGAGCAGCTTGATCAAGGTCGGGAAGATCGAGCCTGTCATGGTCCTGCGTGTGGACAAGGAGAGGGGTTACATTGATCTGAGCAAACGTAGGGTTAGCGAGGAGGATATTCAGACTTGTGAAGAGAGGTATAACAAGAGCAAGCTTGTTCATTCTATCATGCGTCATGTTGCTGAGACTCTTTCTCTCGATTTGGAGGTATAAAGATTGAATCTTTATTGGCATTGATTATGCATCGTAAAGTAGATACCGTTGTGGGCTTGAGACTGTTTGATAGTGTAAAGGAGCTACCTTTGTGGGCTTGAGACTGTTGTATAATGTAAATGAGCTACGTTTGTGGGCTTGAGACTGTTGTATAGTGTAAATGAGCTACGTTTGTGGGGTGATTGATATACTGAGGCTTGAAACTGTTATATTGTGTAAAGTATCTACCTTTATGTTGTGATGCTGAGATTTGAAACTGTTATGTAGTGTACAGTAGCTACCTTTATGTTGTGATGCCGAAACTTGAAACTTTTATGTAGTGTAAAGTAGCTAGCTTTGTGGGTTAGAGACTGTTATATAGTGTAAAGGAGCTACCTTTGTGGTGTGAGTGATGCTTAGGATTGAAACTGTTATAGAGTGTAAAGTAGCTACCTTTGTGGGGGTGTTGAAACTGTTATATAGCGTGAAGTAGCTACGATTGTTTGGTGATGGTGAGGCTTGAAACTGTTACATTGTGTGAAGTAGCTACCTTTGTTTGGTCATGGTTAGACCGAAACTGTTATATAGTATAGTGGGCAGATCTGTGCATCTGCTACTATCATAGTTTACTGATTTAATGTTGGAGTATTCATTTATTTGAGTTTTCCTTTTTCGCAGGACTTGTATGTGAACATTGGTTGGCCTTTGTACCGAAAGTATGGTCATGCTTTTGAGGTGAGAACTTGTGAATAGAGTTTCCTGTAGATATTTGTTACTCAAGTTTGTATTTGTTTTTTGTTCAGGCTTTCAAGGTCTTAGTGACTGATCCTGATTCTGTGTTGGGTTCACTCACCCGTGAGATTAAAGAAGTTGGTCCTGATGGGCAGGAGGTATAGTTTGTGTCTCTGGTTTTGTCTTAGTTATTGGTTTACAAACTTCCTTGTGTGCTAATCTTGGGAGGTTTCTATTGTAGGTGACTATAGTTGTACCTGCTGTTACCGAAGAAGTGAAAGATGCACTTGTGAAGAACATTAGGAGGAGAATGACACCACAACCAATGAAAATCCGTGCTGATATCGAGTTGAAATGTTTTCAGTTTGACGGAGTTGTTCACATCAAGGTTGTAAACCCGTATTGGATCATTTTATAACGTATCAATAATCTCATTTTGGTTTTCTCACACATGTTTGCTTTTTCAGGAGGCCATGAGAAGGGCTGAAGCTGCTGGGAACGATGACTGTCCTGTTAAGATTAAATTGGTTGCTCCACCTCTGTATGTCCTTACTACTCATACTCTTGACAAGGTTAGGCAACCTTCTATCCTGAAACTCTGATTTACATGATTGGCCATTTATCGTCTCCTTATCATTAAAGTGGTTATATCAACCAAGTGCTTAAGAAAACGCAGTCAGATGCTTATGTTGTCCCGGGACTGGTCATTGCAACTTAATAAGTGATTATGTTGCTTTGCAGATTTGTCTTTAGTTAAACCACCAATTGTTTTACTGACCCACTTACCTTAACAAGTATCTGTAAATGCTTGTTGTTTTGTCCCATTTTTCGTAATCGTCTGAGTCTCTCTATAACAATAATTAACAGGAGCAAGGGATTAGAATTCTAGACGAGGCTATAACAGCTTGCACTGAGAAAATTGAGGAGCACAAAGGCAAGCTTGTCGTTAAGGAGGCACCCAGAGCGGTAAGAATCTTCTTCATTTGAAAACCGTAACAAGAACTAGCTCTGCTTTATTCTGTGTGGAGTTTTTTAAATATTTGTTATCTATGTTATGACAGGTGAGTGAAAGAGATGATAAGATGCTGACAGAACACATGGCTAAGCTAAGACTGGACAATGAAGAAATTAGCGGAGATGAGGAAAGTGGAGAAGAAGAAGAGGATACAGGGATGGGCAATGTTGATATCAATGGTGGCGCAGGAATCATTGAGTAGTATCGGTTGAGCTTTTTTTTTTAAAGTATGTAAACCTTTTGGAGATTTCTTACAGCTTGGAAAAGCATTCCCTACATAAGTATTTTTTTCACTTGTTTGCAATTCAAGCTTTGCAAGTCCAACATTAGTTTTAGGCGTTAAATCAAAAAACGTCCATGTTGTTTGAATATCATTTTCTACAAGTGTACGATTTGCAAAGGAGGCATCCATATTTGACAACCTCCATCTTTGGAAACGATAAACCATGGAAACGATAAAGAGGGATGCATATTTGGTTCGCTTCATTTGTCAGCTAATATATATCATGATCGGTTTAAGTTTGTCGGAACGGATCTTGGCGTCCGTTTAAACTAGAGCTCTGTAATTACCACCAATATAAATAAATTTGACAATCCGTCTTGGCTTTTTTTTTGCTATGGCCTTCTAGCTAAACGATTTTGGTTTTTCGATATCTTGTGTCCCACCTCTTTTCATATTTGGATCAAGTTTCGTTTTGGATTGGTCTTGCTTCCATTGTCTTCATGGACATGTTTCAGTGTCTGTATGGTTTGTACTTTCCAGTTCAATGGTAGATTAACTAAGCTAACTTGAAACAAAATTGATAACTGAAAGTGAAGAAGAAGACTTATCTACACTAAGATTTATTGTATCGTTAAAGTTATTAGAAATCCGTCTATATTGTTAGAGTGAGAATCTATACTATTAAGTCATGATTTCTTTCATTTGTGATTTTCTAAATTTGAATTATCTTTAGAAAATACATAACTTACTAATATCTTTATTTTTTGTGAAATACAAATTATAACAAAATCTACTTAAAAATCTTTTAGAATCTTTTTAAATAGATTTCCAAAAATTAGTTAATTTTCATATCTAAACGAAAAATTAAAATTATTTAAAATATTTTCTATTTTAATGATATTAAATTTTTAAATAGAATCTTTAAAAAAAAAATTAAAGTTATTAATATTTTACAATATTTTTTAGTAAGAGATATTCAATTCTAAAACTATTCAAAAACCAGGATCCCCAAAAAATAAATTTTGATGTTTTAATAGTGTCTCAAAAAAACTTTTTTTTATCATCTAGGTCCAATTGAATTTACTTTCTTATATACATATTTCAAATTTTGAAAATAAAACACAAAATATGTAAAATAGTATTGTTATATAATAATGTTTTCTAAATGAATGTTTTACAAAATACAAATTTATAGAATTCTATAGTAATAATATTATTAACCACACAAACATTATTATAACATCCAATTTATTTATTTATTTATTACTGAATTTAATTAATTAAACTAAAAAATTTAGTATAAAAATAAAATTTGTACGATCGTTCGTGTCAAAATCTAGTACCTAATTTATTTTATTTCCAAATAAGACCAGTTTCGTATTACTAATATATCATCATTAATGTTTGTCCTTACCAATATCCGATGTTAAAAAGACCCTTAATCTTTTATTAGGGATGGTTGGTTAGGATGTATCTAATGACTTTAACTTTAATTTTTATCTACAACCATAAAAATTACCAATCATGATTTATCTAGTTTTAAAACTGAAATCAAAAGGTTAAAAAAAAAGAAGTTGTAGTACACTTATTTTCTAAAACACTATTTTTTTGTTGTATAGAAAACTATTATTGTAGAATTATCTTTCTATTTTTATTATTTTCTCATTTAATTCTTACAACTACGTCAAAATTCATATAGAAAAAAATTTGCAGTAAAATCTTTACACCTACATCCCAACCATTCACCCTTAGTATTATCTTATGATTTATTCTTGGGTTCACCTTATAGGGTGAACTTCTAGGTTTACCAATCAATAGAAAGTTGTTTTTTTTTTATATTTGATATTTTCTTTAGAAGAAAAGAAAATATTGTTAAGTTATATTATGTTTGTATAACAAAATAGAAAATAAAAATAAAATAAGAATATTAACAAAAAACAAAAAAAAAAATCTTTAAAAAAATATTTTAGCAAAAAAACAAAAAAAAACTGTGAAACAAATATTTTAACAAAATATTTTGTTTTTAATATAAAAAATAAAAAAACAGTAATAATTGCAGAAAAAAACAATTTAATAGGATTTCATTAAATCTAAAGATTTATGCTTTACCTAGGGGTTTACGCTTTATGATTAGAGTTTACGGCTTAGTGTTAAAATATTTTCTTTAAAATGAATTATTTTCGTTTTCTTAATTATTATTATTATTATTATTATTATTTTTTGTATTTTTAAAAACATAATATAACTTAATAAGATTTTGTTTCTTTTTTAAAAAGATATCAAATATGAAATAATGCAATCTTATTGGATGATGAACTTAGAGGTTCACTCTAGAAGTGAAACCAAGAATAAGTCTTCTTTCTTTTATGATGTAAGAGGTAGTAAATCATCTCCTAGACATTCTTTCTCAAGTGATTTGCCACATGTATTTTGTAAGTCAATATCACTGAAAATGTGATATGACATACTAGAAATGATGGCATGACTTATGAATACATGACAATTACATTTAATGTCAATTTCTATTTTTGGTAAACTTTTTATAATATGAAAATAAGTCATAGATCATTATTAATATAAAACTATTCAAAATATTACATTAAATAATAATAGAAGTATAAAATATTTTAAAATTTTGCAATATTATTTAATTATTTTCTTATAATCATACAATTTTTATTACCAGATAAATTTTTTAAATTATACAATATTTTAAAACTATTATAAACTTTTATTCATAATACTATTTGTTTCTTTTAAATATCTACAAATTTTAGAAGTTTTGTTGAGTTTTATTTTTGATAATTATAAAAAAAAATATCATTTAGAAAAACCAGTTATACAAATTGACTTAATATATCTTAACAAAAGTAAATAAATGAAAATCTATCTAAGATTATAATTTCAAATATAAACATAGCTTTTCTTAAATATAATTTAATATAAATCAAAACTGTTTTAATCTTAATTTTATGTTTAACAAAATTTATATTTAAATATTAATATAAAATAATAAAATTGAAAATATTAACATGTGCAGGAAAACACCTAATTATCAATAAAACAAAGTGTTAAAAAAATTGATCAGTATTTCGTATCTTAAACTTATATAGTTTAAATATTAATAAACTTCAATATGTGTTTTCAAAAGAACAAAAAAAACAACTGCAAATAAAAATACAAAATTTAGACTAAAGTTGAAAATATTCATTACCAAATATGTCAGTCAACTTTAGTATGGAAATGAAAGAAATGTTATGTCATTTTTTGGTAGGATATATATTCTAATTAGGTTATTATGGTGGCGGACTTATCTAATCCTGGTGTATGTGGATGCTAGAGTGATTGTTTTGCCTTAATAAATAACCTCTTTATTTATTCACTTTCTCTGCATCTTTTGATTTGCCTTAGCAACCATGATGTTCTCGAACTGGCTCCACCTCCGACGAAGGCTTAAGGAAATCTCACCGGGCACGCCGCCTAGGTCGAGACGTTTCTCATGCTCCTCTTTCAAAGACATTCACCACCTTCTCTCAGAGGACGAGTCCTCACCGGAGCCTTATTCTCCAAGACTTCAAGTCCTTCACAAGTCACGTAGCCTCAAGATCGACCGTTGCACCTGGAGAACTCCCCCTTCGACCACGGAGACGCTCTTCTCCAACACCGACCATGGAGCCGTGGTTCTCTACTACACCAGCCTCGGTGCCATACGTAAAACATCCAAGGAGTGTAAGGCCGTCCGAAAAATCCTCCATGAGCTCCGTATCCCTGTGGACGAGAGAGACTTGGTGATGGACTCAAGGTTTCTCGACGAGCTGCATGCGATTTTTGGGACCAGGAACGTGGAGTTGCCTAAGGTTTTCATCGGTGGGAGATACATTGGAGGGGCGGAGGAGGTCACGAAGTTGCATGAGAGCGACGAGCTGAGGAAGATGGTTGGAGAATTACCACAGCCCGAGGGAAGATACGGTGAGATCTGTGATATGTGCGGAGGATGTAGGTTCGTTGTTTGTGAGACATGTAATGGTAGCCACAAGATCTTCTCGGAGAAAAATGGATTTATTTGTTGTACGGTTTGTGATGTAAAAGGTATTGTTAGGTGCTCGTCTTGTTTCCCGATGCATCGGAGACGGTACTCTGATATATATCTCCGGTAGACTTAATGTTTTTAATAATCAAATCCAATGTTACCAATGTTTTAATTTATGTTTGACAAAATTGAGAAAATACATGTATCTTTTCTTCCCTTAAAATGATATATGAAGTTATTTTCTTTTCTACTTTTACTAGGACATTCCTTATTTCAAATAGTTCAATTTAATCTAAAGTGGATTCAAACATATTACAAGAGCCTCGCGCCCCTTCGTGTTTCGTGGATGCAGCGTGGGATGACTCGTCAAATAGAGCTGGAGTCGCATGGTGCTTTGCTTCTGATCACCTGATCCACAGTACATCAGGATCCCTGATCGTCGAAGACGTTTCCTCTCCACTCAGGGCCGAATCTTTAGCTCTTTGAACTGGAACCACCGAAACCCTAAGATTAAGGTTTTCCTCGGTCTCGTTTCGACTACGCAACACTCATCCGAGCAATTTTTTCTAGAAGTCAGATCAAAGAGATCTATGGTGTTCTCCATGACATCAAAATCCTCTCGTCTCACTTTCATCTATCTCCTTCGTGCTCGTCTCTCGTTCCCATAACAGAGAAGCAGATGCTTTAGTTAAATGGACCCTTCAGGCCCATCATATTTCTTCTTCGTTTTCAATTTCTGTACATGCTGCTGTTTCATTGGGCTAGCCCCCCCTACCCCCTGTGGGCTCGGACCTTCCCCTTTTTTTAATTAAAAAAGTATGTTGTTCAAAATAAAAATTTCATAGTTTGCAATGCATAATTAACTAGTATTTAAAAAAAAAAAATCTTTTATCTGAGGACAAACATAAAACAATACATAGAGCAGGACTCAACAGATACCTAGAGGGAAGCCACACATCGTCGATTATCTGCAGATCGGACGCATCTTGGGACAAATCTTCTAAGAAAGCTGGACTTGCATGATCATCTCAAGAGACCAGAATTTGATCATTTCTCAAGGTTCGCATGCAGAGGTCAACGTATCTTCCTCGATCGTCGCAGAAGCCTTAGCTCTCCGATAGGGAATCATCACCACAGTGGAGCTTGAAATCACCCGAATCAAGATCTTCCCTGACAATATAACGCTCATCCGAGCAATCAACTTCAAAACACAGATTAAAAATCTTTGGAATCATCAGTGACATCCAGAGAATCTCTTCTCTTTTCTTCGATATTTCATTCCATCATCTATCCCGCGAGCTGATCACCGATGTTGACCAGTTAGCAAAAAGAACCCTAAGGGGCTTTTCTGTTTAAGCCGTTTGGGCTTGACTTGGGTCCGAGACCATGTTTTTTCTCCTTAAGTTTCAATATAATTCGTGCACAAAAAAAAATCTTTAAGAAAATTGGATATATATCATTTGAATTCATATTCGATCCAATGATATGGTTACATAAATCTTTGGTTTCGATGGCCATTAATACCCAATTAATTTGCTCATGTTAACAAAAAAAATTGAAGGTAAGCCCTTTTTTTTTCCTCATATTTTCTATATGAAAACGAATATACTTCCACCGTTTAAGTTTGCATGTCGTTATAGGAAAAATATTTTATTACAAAATAAGTGTTGTTTTATAATTTTGATGTAGAATTTGTTATCTTTATATACTTTTCTATTATTTTATTGGTTGAAATGTGGTTAAATGTATATGTAATTGTGTTTTTCTTTTAAAAATATATAAAATTAAATATTTTCTTAATCTATGTGAAAAAATCTAAAACGACAACTAAAATGAAACAGATGAAATAATATTTTTACTTGTTATCAAAGAAGAAAAAAAAAAGAAGTCGCTGATCTCCAGATCAAAGATTTCTCCACAGCGAACACTTCCAAAACAATTTCATCTTTTCACTAATGAAATCAATGTCACTCATGAGTCATATGAATCACAAAGACTATTTAGCTAGATAGGTAGCTTAATTTGAATGAAATTAAGTAAATTATTATCGTAGGAACAAATATGCTCATCTTTTTAAATTCGACAAGCAACCTATATTCCACGAAATTGCCCTCTCCCGAGACGAGGTCCAAACTTTATTCATTTTTATGATTGATAAAATTCAACACGACTTTTGTCGTCATGGTAATATAATAATGCCAAACCAAAAAAAAACGATACAATAATGACTAAGAATAAATATAATACGAAATTGTGGTTTCAATACCTAAACTATTGGGCCATACTGATTGATTACTAATTAAGCTGCAGTGGCTATATATTTCATGCAAACCCATGCATATGATAATACGTACAAATCCCATATAGTATATTATATTCCGCTCCTCCAACTTATTCTTTCCCAATAAAATATTTTCCGTTCACACATCGTTGATAATAAAATGTATTGACACATTATTTAAAGTAAAATCTGTATGTACTGCTGCAATTTTCTTCGGTCCAGTGTCCCACAGTTTCTACAATCTCAAAAGATATTTAGTTAAACTATACATGGTTCAAAAGTTTATAGGTTCCAAAAGTGACTATTTTTTAGAGATTCCATACACAATCTTTATAAATAGGTCCCAAGAATTGGAACAGTTTTTTTTTGATAAATATCCAAGAATTGGAAAAGTTGAGAGAGATTCTATTATACATTGGCAAGACACTACACGAAGACTTTTGTCAACGATCATATATACATTGATTCATACATGTGTCGAAGAAAATGAATTAGTGTAGTAGTCAATATTCAATGGTTTATAACTCTATATTAAAGCCGTAATTGATATTCCTAAGCATTTGGTATTTGCTGGATCGTATACATTGCTCATGGGTTGTCTGAGGATGGAAGAAGCTAGCATTGTATAGGGTAGATATGAAAAGCACCATTCTAAAGTAAATAACTTTCCAACAATTTAGAAAAGCTAAATACCACTATTTTAATTCCTACCAAGAATTAATAACGACGACGAAATATACATTTCGGCTGGACACTGGGCTTCCAAAAAGATATTGAAAAAGAAAGAAATGTTATCTACCTAATTTATTTGACCAATGATTTCTACAATGTATCTGGTCACAGTTCAGGAATTTTGAATTATTACTTGTGTATGGTTTACAAGAAAAGTTATTAAGATTATGTTAGATGATACAATGTTATGAGTAAATTATATATGTTACCATGATCAGAAAAAACCTACATCGTTTTTTTTTTCTTTTAGAATTATGAAATTAGATTATTATTTTTTGACAACAAAATTAGATTAATAGTAGTATTTTAACTCTTTGTACCTTTTGCATGTATAGAGAGAGACAGA